ATCAACACGTTAGTTTGCTTTTTGCATCCAAATAAAGACAGAATCATCGCCCAAGGCCTCATCTGCATGTATTTATTTAATAAACCTCATTGAAAGTGTTTAAGCTTTACCCCGAATGTTGTTCTTACAAAGGTAATATGCCTTGTCCTGAAACGTTCGGAGCTTAACTATGATTGACTGCATTGGTAAATTTGGTTGCTCTTTCACAACTTGTGGTCGAACAGTGCTGACGTACATGAGTCCACCTGGTATTGAAGACTCCCTCTTAGTGTGTAAAAAGTCGCCAACAGCAGAAATGACTTAATTATCATTTGCATAATGCAAATTAGACAGTTCTTCCACCAAGTTTGAGAAGTGATGGAACTCGGACAGATCCAAATCTCATGAATACGGATAATGCGCAATGACTGCAAAGAATTTTGGCAAGAGACTTGAGACTCTAGAGTTACCTAAACAGATTAACATAATACTGTTAATGGTCTGACCTTCCAGGAGGCAGCCCGCATACTACACAATATGATTCCGTTGTAACAGTGAGTTCAGTTTTACGCCGCACTCAGCAATATTCCAGCTGTATGGCGGCGGTCTGTAAATAATCGAGTCTGGACCAGACAATCCAGTGATCAACAGCATGATAATCGATCTGCGTAATTGGGAACCGATGACATGTGTCAACCAAGTCAGCGAGCCTGACCACCCGATCCCGTTAGTCGCCTCTTACGACAAGCATAGTCGCCTTTTGTGGCAAGCATGGGTTGCTGAAGACCTATTCTACCCCGGATCTTCACGGGTCCCGTTGTAACAGAATACCTGAAGCCATCGCCTTTCCTCCTGATGGACAGGAGACTCTGCCTCCTTCGGAGGATGAAAGGTACATGTTTCCATTGCTTTGTCTCTGGCTGGGGAACCAAGACTCATCCAGTGTTACAAATCAGTCAACAACAACAACAAACAAACAAAAACGTTGAGGAGATGATGAATGTTGAGCCTTTCTGATGAGGAGTCCGAAGCTTTGGAAATCATTTGTATGCCCAATTCATTCTTTGGAATGTTCTCAACTCTTTCATGTAGGATGCCTACTGTATTGGCTACGAACCTTTCAGCCATCGATAGGTGGGGAGTAGAAATGGCCTCAACAACCAAGATGACAACAGACTAGATCGGGTTCCAAGTGAATGGTATTCATAACCTATCACTGGATTGCCTCGTCCATCACCATAACAAATAGATCATTGTAGGTGTATTTTGTCTTTTACATATGTAATGTGCAGATCTTACTGTATTTCAATAATTATCAAAATTATGATATAGAGACACAAACAATAAGGAAGCATTGCTGGAGCTGCAATTCGCTGGAAAGAGTTGCCTCCCTTGGAAACTGTAGAAACCTATGATTGGGGTTCGAATCCCGGTTAGTCCCCATTATACTTCTTGGTTTGTCAGCGCCATACCCCTGCTCAGGGGTTTTACAAAATGGTGAACGTCTGAAACCTACATGTCTTCTGGTTTCCGTTCTACATTTAGCTGCAAGCCGTGATATACATGGAATACCTTCCTCTTCCAAAAAAGGGGCAGTGGGGTAGCCTAGTGGTTAAAGCGTTAAAGCACATTGAGCATGCTCTGGATGGACTCTGGCGCACAAGAAATATCCATATATTATTTATTATTATTGTTATTAATATTTTGACAACAGCGTTAAACCCAGTGGTAGAGTAGGACATGATTAATTTTTTTAGCAAACGCTTGGAGTCATCACTGATTTTCAGCGATCCATATGATGAACATCATTATTGCCTTTTACACACAATGGAATCGGCAGATAATCAAGATTGGCTGTTCAGGCATTGGCGATATATATTTCCGTATCATAAGTTGAACAGTTCATTTCCTTTCCAACCTCCAGAAAAAACGCTGATGCGAGGACGAACTGTTCGAACTGCTATTAATGAAATCCATTAAAAATACCGAAATATCGCCGGAAATGAGCAACTGTGCCAATGGGTACACTTGTAAGATTACACAAGCAGTAATCATTCCTTAATCACGACACACGTAACAGGGATCTTATTCACCTTAGTTCGTGTGCCAGTGTTAAACACTTGGCGAGTTGGCTTTTCTGACACAACAGCCATTACCCCAACGGCTCAGCCTGAACAGCCCAAAGAAGCCCTCAACCATCGTAGAGTTTAACAGCCGATTTGACAATTTTAGACTATCGACCCACAGTGTGCAGCAGAAATCGCTCGCAATAAGAGTTTCAAGAATGCCCAGAACAAACTTTTGGAGGTCTTTAAATGTCGTGCATCGCATTACAGGGCTTCTGTGACTCCGTAACAAGGGAAGGGGATTGTTGAGGGAACAAAACTGTCTTGGTTGGAGTGGAGAAGTTATCGATTCTAGCTGTACTTGCTGGAGCAATTGATGCAGCAATTTGTCCATGCCCCACTCTGTATGACGTTGTGCCGGGTTATTTCGGGGGAACAAGTGTGAATTATTAACTAAACCAAATCCGAACACAAATGTTGGAACACGCAAGTGGCCTCATTAGGCGATACAGAAACGCTTTGCTTAATCCTACTTGTACTTGTGTTTTTTTATTTATTACAGATGGACACGACAAAAAAATGGTTTCTACTTCATGCGTTGATTTGTTTTAGTTGTGATATCGAGATTCGTTGATAGAATGGTAGCAAGTTGTTCTTTATGAATGTATCTTTCATTCTTATTGTGTACCCGACAAGATCCGGGTTAGAATTGGTCTCCAGCAACCCATGCTTGTCGTGAGAGGCGACTAACGGGATGAGGTGGTCAGGCTCGCTGACTTAGTTGACACATGTCATCGTATCCTTATAGCATAGATCGATGTTCATGCTGTTGATCACTGGATTGTATGGTACAGACTAGATCATTCAGAGACCGCCGCCATATAGCGAGAATATTGCTGAGTGCGCCGTTAAACAACATACAAACAAACAAATAATATTGTTAAATGTAATAAGGTTTGTTTACTGTCCTGGTTGATGATGTATATTGCTATAATATTACAGAATAGTCTAATTAACCGAGCAAGATTCCACAGGGCGTAAGAGGCACAATGGTGACTGGGCCTCTGAAATTCAGCTTTTACACCAGGTGTTAGCTAGAGGTTAAACAAGTCCCGAACTTCGAGCAGCACATACACTGTCAATCTCCATAAAAGAACGTTTTTCACGCCTGACGTCGCACGACGGTACCCCTTCATACGGCGTTAATCTGGAAAGAATCGAGTCTTGACCAGACAACCCAGTGATACTGACCAGACAATCCAGTGATACTGACCAGACAATCCAGTAACAAGACAACACGTCTACTTATTTTGTCGAAACTGACAACAATGTTGATATTAATTACACGATTTGTCAGTCCAAAACAGCAAACATTGCAAACTGATCACTAATCCTGTCGTCCGATGAGAGCATATACCTATAATTCTGTTGTTTATACATGTAATGAACTGGCGTTAACTCAGTTGTAAATTCTTAAAACATTACGTCATTACAGCTATGATGGTCTCATGTATAAACATTCAGGAAAGATGTTTTCTTTGTCGATATGACATTTTAACTGCAGCAGAACAAAAGCACTCTCATTAGAACTCACTTGATTTGCCTTTGCATGTATTTGTGAAGGGTGCAAGCAATGAGGCAGGATACGATGACCTAAACTCCTGGGCCCTTATTCTCGAAACGTTCGTAGCCCTAAGAATTCTTAGCCAATCGTAGCCAATGCATTAAGAATGGGCTTAAGAAGTTCGTAGGGCTACGAACGTTTCGAGAATAGCTAGCCTGATGTCATCACTATTTGAATGTGATTCATACTTATACATGGTTATGATGTAAACAGAATAGTACAAGCGATTCTACTTTTACGCGAGAATATGACACAGTGTTTTTCTCGCTCTCATTTACGTAAAGCATATATCAAGATTCACATGCTTTTTCCAACTCCATATAACTCGACATAATTGTTTGGAAAAATCCCCGTTTTTGTTATATACACACAAAGGTAATATGTGGCACAGAACGTATCCGTTGTGATCCAAATGGACACAAATGAGTAATTATCGATATCTGTAGTTCCAGCAATAGCCGTAGATGTATTTGTTCACTCACTCGTGGTCCACAATATTTGCTGTTTCATTCTTCATTATATAAATATCACAGCTTCATTTGACCTGACATTTGATATCTAATTATACTCTCATCTGACATTAAATATTACACATAACATCGTTATGATCGCCTGCAATAACACTGTTCAATTGCATTTTAGTGATTGTCAGTGCTAACTTGTCAACTAAGGCCTTGTCAACTGAGGCCTTATTATATGCTTGTATATAATACGTGAGACGTTCATGACGACACACACCGATCACGTTACGTCATCGGGACAGTAGACTGCCTTCAGTGGAGTTTATCTGCAACGTGGACGGAGGCCACCAGAAATGGTATTCATGTTGGGAATCGAACCCGGGGGTTCGGCGTAACGAGTAGACGCTGAATCCACTAGGCTACGCCCCTGCCCCATTGGCCGAACGTAACGTTACCAAATGGATACAGTGACCCGTCTCGGTGACTCAGGATCGTTGCTCTTAATATCAATCACTTGATTTTCTGTTCTAGATTCGACTTATGTCCTATTGTTGGAATAAGACTGAATGCGGTGGTAAGCTTGATCAGTAACTTGGTTGGTGAACCCCAATTTCGTAGATCGGGGCTCAATATGTCGATCATTGGATTGTCTGGTCAGGAATAAATTATTCAGGCACCGCCGTCATGCCGTCTGACTGAGGCGTAAGATCAGGCATCATTCAAAGTCAGAATAGGGACACAATGTTTGATAATTATGCCAATCAAACCAGCCAACTGCAAACCGACCCTCTCTGAGCTGAATGTTAAAGTATGCACAGGGCAGCGTGGTAATCTCATTATTTGTCAGTTCCTGATCCAACGAAGCGCTAATCAAAATGAATATATTGTGTTTATTAACAGCTGTACAGGGGTCTCATGATCAGTCCAGTGTTCACGATTATGACCTGATTATATCTGAAACAGAATAGATTAGGTATTACAGATACGGCGTTATATATTCGACAACATATCTGTTGCATATTGGTACTGTTTTCACGCACGCAAACAATGACTTATTTATAACTTCACGCGTATTGGCCACAGTCCACTGCACCTAACCGCTGAGTTTTCTCAGATCTTCTCAGTATCTTTTGTCCAAAAGAGGGTTTGTTTTGGGTTTTTTTGTTTTGTTTTTCTGCAGTAATGAATAAATGACCATTGCAATACTGATAATGAATCCTATCACATGGTCAAACAAATGGATGTACCCAAGTGGTACCAAATATCATCATCAGATATTTGACATCTTTTAATGAAAGGTATGGGCTCAACATACCATCCCTGTTATGCTCGTCAGACTCAAACCCGTACTCGCGGGTGTCGTGAGTTAGTACAGTTTTGCGCCGCTTATAGCAATATTCCAGCAGTATCATGGCGGGTCACCAGAAATGGGTTTCACCTATTGTACCCTTGTTGGGAATCGAACCGGATCATCTGACGAGCGAATGCTTTGGCCACTGTGTTGCCCACCGCCCCTCATGGATGTGGCTAATGTTGTAAGCGGCTTATGCCTGATTCACTTCAAAACATTCACTCCTGGTGGAGATGCTCTTACCGTTGATGTCAAAGGTGGTACTCTGATGACATGCTGCCTTGATGCCATGGCTGAGACGACCAAACTCATGAGTGGCTACCACGGGAAAGTGTTTCGCCGACTTCAGCGCTCCGATCAGAACGTGCTGTTGAGAATAACACAATATATAATATACACTGTGACGTAATTTATGAACGCTTGTTGCAAAAGACACAAAACAATGCCCTCTGACGTCAGATTGTTCATCGTGTGTTCTTAAGCTCCTCCCAGTGATCTTCATCTCTACAGGCATTACAATAGCATAAGCCCAGAGATGTTGAGAGTTTTCAATATTTTGTTAACTAAATATAGCCTGCGACAGCGCATTCTATAGGAGGCGCTGGTCATGAAAGCACTTTTATTTTAAAAAAACATTTAATATATTTCAATTTCGGTTTCAGCCTAGGTCATGGGGCTGAATGAATTATGAGATAATTTGCATGTATTTCGTGTCAGTATTCGGTATCAGACCTGAATATAAGTGGGATCTTTTAACGCTCATGTCAGGAAACTGATTACAGAAATGGGAATTTATGTCTAGAAATTACAGGACAGGAAACGGCATGACCTTTTACAAATTAATAATTGTTTACTTTGTGAATCACGGTTTGCCTTTTGGAAACGTACATTGTCACGGATATAATATAAGTTGTTCATTGGACACGAGGGGGACATGGGGTTCCCTGAGGAACATAAACAAACCAATGAACAACGTATTTAATATCTTACCGAACACCTCAATGTTAATTTTGAACTGTTTGAAGCACAGGCATATAATAAGGAGTACCGGAGTTAGGCAACCGCCCAAACACTACTAACACGAAGTACCAAACGATTCCCACAGTTCGGCTTTTCCAGCGGGTAACATAGAAAATGTTACTCGCTTGTAAGCGGGATACAGTGATTGGCTCAGCCAATCAGAAAACGACATTAATGCGTGAGGTAAGATAACGAGTGATACACATGGCTTGTTTGCAGGCTATTTTGTTTCATCATTTCTGACAGTTTAGCGACCATAATTTGGGTTTCGAACCATGTCCGAGTCGAACGTTTTGTCGACATGACTGAACATGTACGACACCAGGTGTTCACATCATGCCCAGTCGGTGTCCGTCAGCACAGCGTGCGTGTAGTCCACGTATTCTCCTTGAATATGTGACTGAGTGAGTGAGTATCGTTATACGCCGCTTACAGCAATATTCCAGCAATACTACGGCGTGAGACACCACACATTGTACCCATGTGGGGAATCGAACCCGCGTAGAATGCTTTAACCACTAGGCTACACCATCGCCTGTGGTTTATACGTAGTAGTAATAATAATAATAGTAGTAGTAGTAGTAGTAGTAGTAGTAGTAGTAGTAGTAGTAGTAGTAGTAGTAATAGTAGTTGAAGTAGTAGTCATAGTAGTAGAAGTAATCGTGGTTGGTTGTAATCGTCGTCGTAGTAGTAGTTGTAGTAGTAGTAGTAGTAGTAGTAGTTGCAGCAGTGGTAGTAGTAGTAGTAGTAGTAGTAGTTGTAGTAGAAGTAGTAATAGTAGTAGAAGTAATCGTGGTTGTAATCGTCGTCGTCGTAGTAGTAGTAGTACTAGTAGTAGTAGAAGAAGTAGTAGTAGTAGTTGTAGTTGCAGAAGCAGTAGTAGTAGCAGTAGCCTACATCCATGTCGTCCACGCCGCCAGGGTTACCCGCACTAAGCACTTCCTGGTCAGTCAGATGGTACAAGTAGCACCCGGACTTGGTGATGATAGCCACAACATCCTGCAACACATGACATACAGTTGATACACACCGCTGACGTACACTGAAATACATACAATTGGTATATACAGCTGATATACACAACGGAAGACATTAACCTAAAAATGGCAACAAATACTGATATAGATATACAGGAAGATACACAAGCTGATAATCAACGCCTGTCATTCTGTCTGGAACACTGAAACTATTATGGAATCTTGAAATCACAACGACAGAATGCCTACATTTTTCGTGTCCAGACTGAACGAGGGGTTGCTGGTGTCAGGCACGTGCACTTGAAAATCGGGGTCAGTCTGTCGTGGAGACAGCTCCGCACCAACCTGGAACATACGGATGTATACATGTGAGCATTAATGAAGCTTATTCTAATGAGTATGCATGCACTACATTTTGTATATGCTTTGAAAACCAAACTAAGCCTATTAAAATGGAAACTGTAACATATTTTAGCCTGATTAAAAATAAAATTGAAATATGGATCACTTGCAGTCTGAGAGGAATACACGAAAACATGAATATCAGCAATGCCAGAAAGTATGGTTACCATTATTACGTCGCCAATCTGATAGTCACACCTGTCTTAAATAAGTATTGTTATGATTCTATGAAACACTACTGGCGACCGCATCAGTACCTGGTATAGCCACCATTCGCATGGATAATATCTACCAGTCTCCTCTTCGTACTGACAATCAAGCATCGAATTCCAAGCTTTGGAATCCTCTTCCATACATCACAGAGTGTCTGCATCAGTTCCTGCAGATTTGGAGTTTAGATCACGAGGATATCTAGCTCGAAGTTGGCGTCCAAGATAGTCACGGCTCGAGAACGTTCAGTGACTGAGTGAGTGAGTGACTTTACTTTTACGCCGCTTTTAGCAATATTCCAGCAATATCACGGCGGGGGACACGAGAAATGGGCTTCACACATTGTACCCATGTGGGGAATCGAACCCGGGTCTTCAGCGTGACGAGCCAACGCTTTAACCACTAGGCTACCCCACCGCCCCCAAGAACGTTGAGGTCATCCATGAATATAGCATGACTGTCAAGGAGATGGTTGTCAAAATGTGGCACGACGGCGCTAACCTGTACTTCCTGTTGATGACGTTGGCCATTGAGTGTCCCAAGTACTGTAATACATCTAACTTGCAGTTATACGAAACACACGTCCACGCCACCACTGAGCCATGGGTCATGGGATTTCGTCATTCTAGACAAAATTGGACTCAATCAATGTCTTTGGTCTTCCTCGGTGTTCCAGATCTTGTACGATCGTTTACTTTACGGCCACCTGCTTTCTCATAATATCTCATTGTTAATGTTCAGGTTTGCGCAAATGTTGCGACATGGCATCCCAATAATTTGTTATCGTGTATCGTTGTAAGTCAACGTCTTGCCATGCCAAGAGGGGTTAATTTTCAGCAATGTGGTGTTTGAAATCAGGTTTAAAATGGTGTGCACATACTGCAATTATGAAACTCATACCCCAATTTGCACGGTGCCTTCGCAGCGCGTGAATATGTGACTCAAAGCTTTCCAGATATTGTGCGAAGCACGTATTTTACCTGTGCATTCCAGTAAGCTTGGGTATGATCGCCTGGATTCACATGCTGTTCAAATAATGCTAATATGTGTATTTATATCAGTCGGGTTACATAATGCTTTATATTCCTCTTTCGTTAGGGCTCGAATGTGTCTTATAGATGTGGAAGCCTATAGTACCGCTTCAGGTACGATATTGGTGCGAAATGATCATACACAGGCAATCAGTGACACTTGTTGAAAACCATAAGGTGAGATGAACGAATGTTTCATTTCCATTAAAGCCCATGGGCTTAAATCCGGGGTTTTCATTTCCCCATATCGATGGGTCAGTCTCTGACGCGGGAAACAAAGCCAGGAATTCCTCGATCAGGGCCCCTTCCTTCCTCAATTCTCGTCTACGCCTATGTTCTACAATGCATTTACATTCTGTTCTCATCAACGTATTCATTGCCATGCCCATCCCTCTTTTACTAACGCACCATGGAATTTTTCTCGCTTGTAGGGGTACCTTGATTAGACAACAATTTGCGCTATTTGAATCCATCTCAAAACGAGATTATGGTAGGGAATTGCTATACGGTATGTCATAACAAAATGGGAATGAAAAATATCTGATTAATAGATGGTCAGCAGGTATAAGAGAAGGGTCATGCACACACTGCACTTACCATGTGAGTGAGTGAGTGAGTTTGGTTTTATTTATCATCGCTGTTCGTCCTATTTTAACGATTTTAGTACCCAGTGAAGCATTTTAACGAAGCCCGTGAAGAATGGTACTGGTTTCTGAAACTCGGCATTGTCGTAAAAAGCGACAAAACGAATCGAATGGTAAGACTCGGCGATGACTGTTGTGTCGTATCCCATTTGATCTATGGATATCCTACCTCTACGATTACTTATTTTGAATTGGATCAACTACATCTATATATTTTAAAGCAAGCGAGACGTTTGTACGCCGCTTTAACTATTTCCACACCAAGAGAATCATACCTAAACCCATCTATGCCATGGAACTTCATTTCTCAGATAATCTCACCCGAATGTCTAACATGATTAAAATAAACCTGAGCAGATAAAGGTTGAAACTCTCTGTCCTCAATGCAAGAGGTACTTTACCCTTTGGACTATGCGATCTTAGCTCTGAGGCTTTCGTAAGGCATTGTTAAGGTATGAGAGAAACACATTTAGTTGGACGTAAAAGGCAAAGGTGTGTGAATGGTAGGGCTGCGCAATATAACCAGTTTACCGGTATTTACCGGTTCAGACATGAAAACGATACGTATTGCGATGCGCTGATCGAAAACCGGTATCTTGACATGCATTCGGAAAACTTTGTAACACTCGGAAATCTTCGGATATTTCCGTTTTTTAAATTGTTCCTTTCCTTGTTTCATTTGTGCCAAACATTATTTACATTTATATTTTGCCATGATTAAAAGTTTTCCTAAAGCCTAATCAAGCATTGTGATTTTGTTGTGTTTTTGCTTTACAAATCAAGCATTAACTCTATTATAAGTAGTTTTTTTGTTAAAAATATATCTTGCAATATATTGCAATACATATCGCAATACATGCTTTCGCATCGCAATATATCGCAATACGAAAATTCCCTGCATTACCCACCCCTACCAAATACTTAGATCTTTTGATGCCATTCTTTGTTCGTTTCATGCCAGCAGTTTATTCTATTGAAAGTTCTGAATCATATTAAGAAAATACCTCCAGGTGTCTGTAATACAAAAGCCAAGCTATAACATCTTAAGGATACTCCCGAGGTCTTCGCCCTGTGCATGAAGGGGGACAAGTCTCGGGTTACATATAAAAGATGGAATACACGTATGTTCAGCTGTCATCTACATTTACGAAAACTCGTACCGAGACGATATTACTGTCTCAAGACACCAAAAGTATATTTACTTACCGAGATTGCACAGAGGATAAAAAATGTTATTACAGACTTCATGCTGGTATAACTCTCAACTACAAAGTGAACGACCTAATATCTTATCTTGTGTAGACATCGACCAGGGACACCAACTGCTAGTTCCAACTATTTCTAGGAACCAGCTGGTGTGTGGTGCATGACGACACACCTATGGGAGATGACCATATGGGCAGTCCGTAAGTCTCCTTACCATTACCTATTTGGTCTGTAGCACCTTTTGTGATGGTCATTGATATTCGGCCGCGGACATGTCCTTTGGGGATACTATGGAATCCTAGAAGGGACATTGTCGCGTTGTCGGATTGTCGCGCTTTGGTTAATTTTGACACTTTTTTAGCTGTTTTTGTGAGGGTGAGAACACGACAATGTCCCTTCTAGGATTCCATAGTACATGTATACCGATATGTTGATATCAGAGTGTTATGAAGGAACGGCTCCATTGATGATTACATATTACATATTACATATAGGGGTGGGGGTTGTGATGGTTAAAGCGTCCGCTCGTCACTCGTCACTCCAAAGACCCGGGTTCGATTCCCCACATGGTTACAATGTGTGAAGCCCATGTCTGCTGTTCCCCGCCCCGATATTGCTGGAATATTGTTAAAAGAGGCGTAAAACCAAAGTAACTCACTCACTCACTCAAATATAGTCCCTTTCCCGCGATGGCGATAATAGGCATCGTCCTGCCTTTTGTGTCTAAAATTCACAACTGAGGAGCAATCGAATATACTGCTTTGGTTTTGTCACTGTATTTGTTCTGTGAACATGTCTGTGTACGGGGGAATATGTTTATAACACTGGACACATCGCTGTTAGCTCTAAATAAAAGTTGATACACATATCTCATGTTATGCATCTCCTGACTATCTGACATATTTTTTTATTAGCAGTCAAAATGCCTGTTCTCATTTTTGTTATCATGTTATCATTTGTTATTTTTATCCTGAATGTACATGTGTCATTTATTTAATCATGTTGGAAGAGTGAGTATGGTGTTACGCCGCTTTTAGCAATATTCCAGCAATATCAGCGTGGGACACCAGAAATGAACTTCACACAATGTACCCATGGGGGAAATCGAAACCGGGTCGGCGTGAGGAGCGAAAGTTTTAATAACCACTAGGCTACCCCACCGCCCTACTCATGTTGAAAGTAAGGTACTGCTATTTTTATCCTGGTTCACGATCACTATAACGCGCAACGTGACTGAATACACTAACCATGTGGGGAACAAACCTGCGGCATAGGCATACACTGCTATCTACTGCCCTAATTAAACAATGCAACTTATATAAACGAGAATAACGATGACGTCAACAGTTTTCGCGTATATTGATGGTTACACAATACCAAATGTTTCCCACAGACTTCTATAGTAACGTTATATTTTTCATCCAGGCTGTCTACGGCCATTCCATGTACACATGGGTATAGTTTGGCATTTAAACTACAATACAACACAAATTCCGGCTAACTTATCCTGTCTATTTTCCGAGCACAGGAAGCGAAACAGATCCGCAGAACCCATCCGCATCAAATATCTGTGAACACATTATTAATAAGCATAAGTCAAGGTGATGAAAATGACTGCATTAATTACTTAAAATTGTTGTTGTCAGTTTTAATTACTGGATGGATGTGCTGTCACGTGTCTCTATCTGGCCAGGAGTTTACATACGGTACTCGCTCAGTGAGCAGTGATTCTGATTTAGTGTAGCAGAACCTGTAACATGTTTGTCATAACGGTCACCGGTCCACCTTTCTTTTCTGGATATATTCATGAAAATAGAGCCGCTGTCTCAAAAGGTCTATAAGACAGGGTACACGTGCCTTTCTCTAGATACATGAGAACAGTATGACTCGAACCTAAGCAGGAGAAGATAAATCACTTTCTAAATGGACTGTCCTCGTTATGTCATCTTTGCTAATGATCATCGCTCATTCAATACTTACAACTAATCATGTTACGTGTGTAGTTGCCTGTGTAAATTTCATTCTTGTAAACATACTTCCATTTACAATCCATCATTCTATCAGAGTACTAGGATAAATGTTCATGTATTCTAGAAACTAAGAATACGCACAAAACACACTAATAACAAGGGAGCTCTCCAGTGATGTCAGTGTATATGACTCTTCCAGTTCCAATTCAACGTGCTTCAAGATTAACACAGTAACTTTTACTCTCTCAAGAGAAAATTCTGAAGTTAAATTATCCTTAAACTTTCTACACGAGTCGAGTGTTAAGGTACCAATATCAAACTGATTCTGCAATCATTCCCTTCATGCAATGCCCTTACATGTCAGTGTGCCCCTATCAGAGTGAAACATCTTCAGAAATCTGACCCCTTCTGTGCTACATAGAGAATGTAACTCTCTTCTCTCCTCCATTGTAGGGCCTATAACAGCCTGTAATTGATCATTACACTACCGGAATCAATAGCTAGGCTAACTCACACAATCTTTGCCATCCAGCAAGAGGCATGGACGGGAAATACTAGAGGCACAACTAAAACCTTCAATCCTTCACAAAGCCCTCAAGGGATACGCAACCTCGTCTTTTTACTTCTGGATTGCATCCTCCGTGGTGGCGTCCTGGGTTTTATATAATCTTTAACCTAGGGCTGATTACATTCTCTAATTTCGAATCCCACGAAAACAATTACATTTGCCTTAATAAGACCACGTTCGACCTAAGCGTCTTCCTCGGTTGATTATATCCTAGGAGGTTTCATTTGATTTTAGCATGATTACAATTTCATTGACCTTTTCACGTCTTTGATTTGCTCGACATTCTCTTTTAGGACACAATTAACTGCTGCAACACCACTCTTCGCATTCATGTCGAAAGTCATTTAAGGGAACATGGTTTTATTGAGTTCCATGTTTCAAACACAACTTCCCGTTTCAATCTGTGTGATGTTGTCTCACATCCACACAAGCAGCAGATTGTGTATCGGTGTTCTTGAGATTCAATTTGCCGATGACATTACCACTAGTTACCATGATTCTTTTTGTTTGGTAGGCGTAGAGAATTTACTTTCAAGAAAGTATTTTTGTTTTAGGTGTCATGGTAACAAAGTGTTTCCATAATGTTTCTTTGCAATCGTTTGTTTTCTCTGGTAGATTTATACTTTTCTTGGACAGAATTTACTTGTTGTTGACTTGTTTAACTGTCAGACCATAGTCCCGATGAAACAATGCTGGGAAAATTAAAGTGTAATATATGGGCTCAGTATATTTAGTAAATTTATACTTTTCTTGGACAGAATTTAATTATTGCACTGTATGTGGACTTGTTTACTGTTAGACCATAATCGTGATGAAATAATGCCAGGAAAATTATCTCGTCGTAAGAAATGGGTTTCAGTTCATATATTCCTTGTATTAACTACATTAACAGGTTTATATACTGCTATATGAATGTACGAGCGAATACCTGGTGCCAGCACTAATTTTCAGATATTTATTTCACCGCTCTTTTGCATTTACACCAAATGTTCGGATAATTCAGTCTTGGGATTCTTTGCGCTGACGTTTTTATATTTAAAAAAGAATGAATTTAGAGCTTGTATACTTTGTGAACAAGAAAATTATGCCATTACTAATATCAGGAGCAGACAAGAAGTACAATAGTGGCACTTCACTCCCAATATATGACCAATTTCGTATCGACTATTTAAGCGTCAACTGAGATGAGATTTCAGTTGGAAAAATAAAATACCATAATGATTTATATATGTAGTGTTTACAATGTAAAGTCTGTCAAATTAGGGAACCATGTCTTTCAAGAGACGTATCTGACCATTCAAAAATGTTTCCATATAACCTGTCAATATATCGATGCATTTAGCATCAGTTTTCAAGAACCCGTCTTCACTGACCCACTTTTGTAGCGAGTCGTTATTTGCACATATGAAACATTGATAGAGGCCAAGACATATGGCAAACACTCCTTGTCCCCAGCTTTTAAACTTATTTGTTGGTAAGTTCTTTCATGTCCGATACCAATGTGGAGCTAGGACTGCGAGTCCAATTAAGAATTATAGTTGTGTTTGTCAGCGAGGAATGCTCTTCTTCTCCTTTATCGTCGGGCTGCCATCTTACAGAATTAGAAGTAAAGACCCCCGAATGCTCTGATAGGCTTAATATTTCGCCCAATCGATAGTTGTCATTCCGGATGAGAGTTCGGTAATTGAAAGCATAACATGTCCTATGGGAAATAAGACTTTAAGTCCTATTGAGGAGACATTTCTGCCGAACTGTGACCTTATCTATAAGATAGTGAAAATTGGCAGGTTCCTTTAAGCCTAATGGAGGGCTAGATACACCGAACTGTGACCCGATATGACTTAGGCGGGGAATTTATGATGGATAATATTCCGGTGAAGGGTTTAGAAATATACTAAAAACGAAAAATGATTGATTGGTGTCTTGGATCCATGTTTTCATTTTTTCTGGCGAAAATATCATATGTGCAATACAGACTTCTGCACTTGTCATCATCTGTTTTTTCTGGTGTTCCTCCCAATTATTAAATGATGCTTTTAAAACATCACATACTCCGCACTGGAGAGGCTGAATGGAAAGATGAACAGACAGAACCATTTATCTACTGTGAGAAATAGATGTTTGATTGTGTAGTTGTATTCATTGTTAGACGGTGACAATATGAATTTCTCGTTGACGGTGTCCACCGAATGAGTAAGGGAGTTGGGGGTAGGTATATGCCGCTTTCACCTCTATGCCAGAAAAAACACGGTCAAAAAAATCTCCATATGGGGAATCGATACCAGTCTTTCGTTATAACAAGCTTGCGCTTTAACCACTAGGCTACCTCTATTTGAACTCAACTGAATCTTTTTCAAATGAGAAAAAATTAACAACTTTGAAAAAGCCCTATTTGTATTACTATATATTCAGTATTTGTGTTTAATTAAAATGACAAAGTTTACAGATGGACTCTAAGTTCAAATTCAACGCTTGAAAGAAACCTTTTTTGGTCTAGAAAGTAGTTCATTTGGCACAAATAGGACATAAAAGAAATTACGCCGATCTACTTATGTTTCCAAAGTTTTCCGTTTTTGCTAGGAAGAAAACAAACTCTCTTTTTTGACATAAATAAGAAAAACACCGTCCATGGTCGCTTCATAACAGGACGTAAATATACGTTTCATCCACACGTCGTCTTGCAGTGCCTTTATAGTGAAGGAATGTCGATGATGTAGCTCAGTGGACTAGCCACCTGTATGTAAGGTCCAGAATTGTCAGTTAGATAACCCAGCCAAAGTTCCTCTGTCTGCGCTCAGTCCATAACAGGACTCCAGTGAGTGAGTGAGTGTAGTTGTACGCCGCATTCAGCAATATTCCAGCTATATGGCGGCGGTCTGCAAATAATCGAGTCTGGACCAGACAATCAAGTGATTAACAGCATGAGTATCGATCTACGCAATTGGGATGCGATGTGTCAACCAAGTCAGCGAGCCTGACCACCCGATCCCGTTAGTCGCCTCTTACGACAAGCATGGGTTGCTGAAGATCAATTCCAACCCGGATAATTCGTCGCGTAATGCGTCTATTGTAAAGAAAGGTCTGGGATGTAACTGAATAGACAAGTCACCAGCTGTATGTAAGGCTCAAGCCAGAATTGTCAGTTAGATGTACCAGTCAAAGTTCCTCTTTCTACACACTGCGCTTCTATTTTAATAACCCAATGCGGGACTCGAAAAAAATATGGTTTATGTCAGTATTCTATTACACGAACTACCACTAATACAAGCTTAATTAGTGTATCTATTTCACGGAAAGGTCCATTAAAAACATATTTGTCAAAACGATACATCTCTGTTGGTCATTAAACGAACCCAGCGCTCCATTCTGATATCAGTTTTTCTTCCGCATCCATTTGCTGAAAGAACGTTGATGCAGGAACCACATTAGAACGAGGCGTTAGGTCACGTTGCGACGATGTTGCGATGACATATGTTACCGATGTATCCGTTCAACGTCGATGGGATGTGGTAGGTTGTCAAGACGGCAGTAAACTTTGATATAATATCAACATTAAGATTGGTTGTGATGAAATGAAGTCTTATCCAAGTTAATCTAAGGGCGTCTGAGGGAATATAACGTTGTCTGGGACTGCTAATAGATGTCGCTCATAGACAGAAGGTTAACTAATATTTAACAACGCCGGTGAAACAGCAATTACTATGTCACGGCATGCAAAAATATTAATATGCGTCTGATTGTATAATTAGAATATCGCATTTTCACCAAGAAAAAATATTGGGTTCTTTAAGAAGAGAGCGTTTTTGTTTTATTCCGAAGCTTGAGGCTTTTGCTGAAAGTTTATCTTCCCGGGAGGACTCAGGAAGGATAAGGTGCCCAGCGCTAAAATAATGCAAAGTCTGGGTCATCATGGCCAAGCGAGGGATTTAACTGAATTATTTGAGTTGTTGAGGTAAGGCGGAATGGAGTACTATAAAGCGAATATTTGTGTGCGTGCGTGCGTGTAGGTGCTTGTGCTCGTCCTGACTGCGTCTGGTCTTACTGAGTCAACATAATTTTGGCATCACTCACACACACTACCCAGGCGACCAGACCCTGCATTGCCGTTCTCACCTGTGATCATTCCATGGTCGCTTCATAACAGGACCTAAATATACGTTTCATCCACACGTCGTCTTGCAGTGCCTTTATAGTGAAGGAATGTCGATGATGTAGCTCAGTGGACTAGCCACCTGTATGTAAGGTCCAGAATTGTCAGTTAGATAACCCAGCCAAAGTTCCTCTGTCTGCGCTCAGTCCATAACAGGACTCCAGTGAGTGAGTGAGTGTAGTTGTACGCCGCATTCAGCAATATTTCAGCTATATGGCGGCGGTCTGCAAATAATCGAGTCTGGACGAGACAATCAAGTGATTAACAGCATGAGTATCGATCTACGCAATTGGGATGCGATGTGTCAACCAAGTCAGCGAGCCTGACCACCCGATCCCGTTAGTCGCCTCTTACGGCAAGCATGGGTTGCTGAAGATCAATTCCAACCCGGATAATTCGTCGCGTAATGCGTCTATTGTAAAGAAAGGTCTGGGATGTAACTGAATAGACAAGTCACCAGCTGTATGTAAAGGCTCAAGCCAGAATTGTCAGTTAGATGTACCAGGCAAAGTTCCTCTTTCTACACACTGCGCTTCTATTTTAATAACCCAATGCGGGACTCGAAAAATATGGTTTATGTCAGTATTCTATTACACGAACTACCACTAATACAAGCAATTAGTGTATCTATTTCACGGAAAGGTCCATTAAAACATATTTGTCAAAACGATACATCTCTGTTGGTCATTAAACGAACCCAGCGCTCCATTCTGATATCAGTTTTCTTCCGCATCCATTTGCTGAAAGAACGTTGATGCAGGAACCACATTAGAACGAGGCGTTAGGTCACGTTGCGACGATGTTGCGATGACATATGTTACCGATGTATCCGTTCAACGTCGATGGGATGTGGTAGGTTGTCAAGACGGCGGTAAACTTTGATATAATATCAACATTAAGATTGGTTGTGATGAAATGAAGTCTTATCCAAGTTAATCTAAGGGCGTCTGAGGGGAATATAACGTTGTCTGGGACTGCTAATAGATGTCGCTCATAGACAGAAGGTTAACTAATATTTAACAACGCCGGTGAAACAGCAATTACTATGTCACGGCATGCAAAAATATTAATATGCGTCTGATTGTATATTAATCAGAATATCGCATTTTCACCAAGAAAAAATATTGGGTTCTTTAAGAAGAGAGCGTTTTTGTTTTATTCCGAAGCTTGAGGCTTTTGCTGAAAGTTTATCTTCCCTGGAGGACTCAGGAAGGATAAGGTGCCCAGCGCTAAAATAATGCAAAGTCTGGGTCATCATGGCCAAGCGAGGGATTTAACTGAATTATTTTAGTTGTTGAGGTAAGGCGGAATGGAGTACTATAAAGCGAATATTTGTGTGCGTGCGTGCGTGTAGGTGCTTGTGCTCGTCCTGACTGCGTCTGGTCTTACTGAGTCAACATAATTTTGGCATCACTCACACACACTACCCAGGCGACCAGACCCTGCATTGCCGTTCTCACCTGTGATCCTTTTCATTTTCTAAGGGACTATTCTGTTTTTCATTAAAGACATATTATTCAGAGACTAAGTGTTAGTCTACACATGGCTTTCACGAATCGATCTTAATATTAACCTATGTGAGTTACGATAGATCTACTGCTAGGCACTCTTTGTAACACCGGCCGGATCTACAGCTATGACTCATCAACAGTTTCCTTCGCTTTATGGCACCAGTCCCATCTTCAGCAAGGTTCAGTTAATGACACCGGCCCGATCTACAGCTATCCTCGTTTTATGACACCGGTCCCATCTACAGCTATCCTTGCTTTATGACACCGGCCCGATCTACAGCTATCCTCGTTTTATGACACCGGTCCCATCTACAGCTATCCTTACTTTATGACACCGGTCCGATCTACAGCTATCCTCGTTTTATGACACCGGTCCCATCTACAGCTATCTTCGTTTTATGACACCGGCCCCATCTACAGCTATCCTCGCTTTATGACACCGGTCACATCTACAGCTATCCTCGTTTTATGACACCGGTCCCATCTACAGCTATCCTCGCTTTATGACACCGGTCCCATCTACAGCTAGCCTCGCTTTATGACACCGGTCCCATCTACAGCTATCCTTGCTTTATGACACCGGTCCCATCTACAGCTAGCCTCGTTTTATGACACCGGTCCCATCTACAGCTATCCTCGCTTTATGACACCGGTCACATCTACAGCTATCCTCGCTTTATGACACCGGTCCCATCTACAGCTATCCTCGCTTTATGACACCGGTCCCATCTACATCTATCCTCGTTTTATGACACCAGTCACATCTACATCTATCCTTGTTTTATGACACCGGTCACATCTACATCTATCCTCGCTTTATGACACCGGTCACATCTACAGCTATCCTTGCTTTATGACACCGGTCACATCTTCAGCTATCCTCGCTTTATGACACCGGTCACATCTACAGCTATCCTCGCTTTATGACACCGGTCACATCTACAGCTATCCTCGCTTTATGACACCGGTCCCATCTACAGCTATCCTCTCTTTATGACACCGGTCACATCTTCAGCTAGCCTCGTTTTATGACACCGGTGACATCTTCAGCTAGCCTCGTTTATGACACCGGTCACATCTTCAGCTAGCTTCGTTTTATAACACCGGTCCCATCTACAGCTATCCTTGCTTTATGACACCGGTCACATCTTCAGCTTAGGTCGCTTTATGACACCGGTTCCATCTACAGCTATGTTCGCTTTGTGACACCGGCCCTTTGGAAATTCTCAAACCAGGATGTGACTTCGCCACAACATTTCATTACCGAGAGTGGAAGTCAACAAGGCCCTACAACCCTGTTTGTGAGTCTGCCTCTTATCATAATGATCCACCAACACACACGTCAACATACCCATCCGAGAGGTCACTGCTCTCAACTCCACCAGGTCACACGAGTGTACTTTCCGGGAACGTCCTACCAAAACATGGGCGTCAATGGCATTCCACACAACCCTGCTACTTACAATCCAAGTATGTCGCCCTCCCCAGCAACCTTCGTATCGACTTACATCTATTAGAAATAAATGGTCATAAGTGTGGGTATTTCAGCAACTGGTCCAGCTGATTGTCATTAGAGGAACGCTGTCGTGGAAAGATGGCTGTGTCAGCACATTCGGGGATGTTGCTTGCTTTAAGCTTGGTGAGTATTTTAAAATGGGTTGTGTTTTGATTACGTAATATTTGAAGCAGCTTTGTATTTCAGTGTCAGCTTTGTGGTTGGTTGGTTTATTGTTTAACGCCGAACTCAGCAATATTCCAGATATATGGCGGCGGTCTGAAAATAATTGAATTTGGACCAGACAATCCAGTGAACAATAGCATAAGCATCGATCTACGCAACTGGGATACGATGACATGTGTCAACCAAGTCAGCGAGCCTGACCACCTTATCCCGTTAGTCGCCTTTTACGACAAACAAGGGTTGTTGGAGATCAATTCTAACCCGGATCTTCACGATCGCATCTTGTGACAAGCAGGGGTTGTTGAAGATCAATTCTAGCCTGGACCTTCACGGGTAGTTAGTTTTCTGTTGGATATTCTGCATCACTTCTGGTTTTCTCCAACATCAAGCTCGCATGCTATGCTATAACTGAAATACTTTTCAAGGCGCCTTTAAGCACAATTCACTCACTCTAATAAGCTTTGTACAGTACACAACCCTGTGCACTTAAAAGAACCCACGATTCCGTTGGTATATGACCAGATGGTGACCACATGAATACGTGCAAACCTCTAGTTGCGGGTACAGCAACGTGCAGTGAACTTGGACAAAGTACTGTGACTATGTGTCCCAGTCCACCCAGCTGTGAATGGGTACCTCGTTAGGATGAGAAAGCCACAATAACTCGTTGCGCCTTGTGGCTGCAAGAGTTGTATACTCCCCAGGGAGTTGAGATTGAGAATATGATGTGCGGTTGAGATTGAGATCCAGTGATCGAGGGAAAAGCACTAGCGCCTTGAGCAAGCACTAGTTGCTTGGATATGTGCGCTATATAAATATCCTAAAATAATAATACATACATTATAATATAATGTCCCCATATCGTCATAAACTGTTTGGTGTTTCCTTTATGCAAAAGAAAACTCTGGTGTTTCAAAACACTTTAAGACATCAAATATTTACTTAGAGAAAATATGATTTTGCAAAGGAAAATATAAAAGTTAACTACGTTCACAAGGAACATGCTTTTAACTAACGGACATGGAAACTGTTATTTAAAATTCATTTTTATTTATATTTAAGTCGAAACGGAACTAAAATTAGTGTTTATAACCTTCTTATATTACAATTCCTGTTCCGAGCACAGTGTCATATATTGGCTGTTTTATATATTTCAGGTAGTGATTTTCTCTACGTTGATTCATGCAAGCCGTTGCCCGGTAAGTTTTGAACATAATTCTTTATTCAATAAACCCTCGTTAGTCCGAACCTCACGTTAATCCGGACATTTGATGATACATGGAGAGTAGAACAATCGGAGTCCTGTTTGTTGTTTAACGCCGCACTCAGCAATACACAGGTGATCTGTAAATAATCTGGTTCAGACAATCCGCTGATTGACAGCATGGGCATCAATATATGTAACTAGGATACGATGACGTGTGTGAACCAAATCAACGAGCCTTCCCACCGGATACCGTTAGTCGGCTCTTACCATAGGCATGAGATGCTGAAGACCAATTCTGTACGGGACTACATCTAGTCGAGGCAAACGAGTGAAAGCTTAATGTTACTAGCAGCACGTCCAACTAGATTTAACTGAAACTGTAATATGGATATTAAGGCCAACACTACTGAATAAAGTCTCTCTTGTCTGTCCATACGAACCATCCTCCGTTTTCTTCTCACACCGGGGACGGTGGGGTAGCCCTGTGGTTAAAGCGTTGGCTCGTCACGCAGAAGAACCGGGTTCGATTCCCCACATGGGTACAATGTGTGAAGCCCATTTCTGGTGTTCCCCGCCGTGATGTTGCTGGAATATTGCTAAAAGCGGCGTAAAACCAAACTCCGTCAGTCAGTCTCACACCGACTTCTACGCAAACTTTTAGTCTACTCAACAAAAATAGTTAAGGACCAACCCAATTTTCAGTATTAAAGTATTTAATACTTCATATTATGATCCATATAATACTTAAATAGTGAATATTAGGATAGTGCTTAACTTTTTTTGTTGAGTAGACTAAGCGTTTATGTAGAAATATATATATTGACAACAGAAACCAATAATTCCTTTTAAATTAAAAAGGAGCCCCAGTGAGAAACGAGGTTCAGAACCTGAGGAAACATAGACATGCTTCATTGAGGGTTTCAGCATTACAGAATGGGCAGGGTGGATGGAGAAATAATGTGGTTCAGGCATTGTCATTAAAGACAAGTCGACTTCCTACGAAGACGAATACCTCGGTTTAATTATCCCACATGCGGATTAGGGGTAATGCGAATATTCATTAACAAAAGCCACTACTCAGAGTCATTAGGTATTCATTAGACAGTGTCTATAGTGTCAAGAGGTGACATCTTATCTCATCAGCGACAGGTGTTTGACTGATTAGCTGGTCAGTCGGTCAAAGGTAATATATCCCACACGAAGGCCGAGAGCAATTGGTGCCAACAACAGAGCAATGTAGGCTAATGAACCGAGCACTGATGTATCGAACCTGCAGTTGTCGCGAAGTATTTGTTTACGTGTTCCTTAGTCATCCTTTTGCCGTTGTGCCATTGCCGTTGATCACTAGATTGTCGGCTCAGACTCGATATTTACAGGCCGCCGCCATATAACTGAAATTTTTAGTGAACTGAGTGTGACATAAAACTAAACTCACTCACTCACCGTTGTGACGAACCTCGGATAACACGAAGTATTTTCGCAGCTCCCTTCAACTTCGACACACCGATGTTTAACATGTTTATTGAGCTTTTCAATAAATTCAAAACTAACTGCCATGACAGCAATTCAAAACTAATATGGATAATTAATACTAATAAGTTTGTGCATAAATAGAAACGACAAAGCCGTGTCCATGATTATAACAAATCTGCTATAAGCAGAGTCCGTTATATGTTTCTGACCATGTGACTGACGGAAATTAATTCTAAACACTCCGAACACTCTAAACACTAAACTGCATAGTACTTCGCTGTTTCAGAGGATTGTTCAACTGAAATGACCCTCAAACTTCAAATCCATCTTCTACTTACATGTGAATTCTGTACAAACTATTCTTTCGGGCACTGATTCAAAACACGTTTATTATATTTTGAAAAGGGAACACAAACACTTTAAACTGCTTGTACAAGGCACAACCTATCCAGCATGTCGACTTTTGTAAAAAATGATCATAAAGACAAATCATCCCATTCCAGTTATTTCTGGTTCAAACCACCCAGGCCCAAACCACCCTATCCAAGGGAGTTCAGTTTTAGGGAACCACCCAGGCCCAAACCACCCTATCAAAGTGAGTTCAGTTTTAGGGAACCACCCAGGCCCAAACCACCCTATCCAAGGGAGTTCAGTTTTAGGGAACCACCCAGGCCCAAACCACCCTATCCAAAGTGAGTTCAGTTTTAGGGAACCACCCAGGCCCAAACCACCCTATCCAAAGGAGTTCAGTTTTAGGAACCACCCAGGCCCAAACCGACCTATCCAAGTGAGTTCAGTTTTAGGGAACCAACCAGGCCCAAACCACCCTATCCAAGTGAGTTCAGTTTTAGGGAACCACCCAGGCCCAAACCACCCTATCAAAGTGAGTTCAGTTTTAGGGAACCACCCAGGCCCAAACCACCCTATCCAAGTGAGTTCAGTTTTAGGGAACCACCCAGGCCCAAACCACCCTATCAAGTGAGTTCAGTTTTGGGAACCACCCAGGCCCAAACCACCCTATCCAAGTGAGTTCAGTTTTAGGGAACCACCCAGGCCCAAACCACCCTATCCAAGTGAGTTCAGTTTTAGGGAACCACCCAGGCCCAAACCACCCTATCCAAGGGAGTTCAGTTTTAGGGAACCACCCAGGCCCAAACCACCCTATCAAAGTGAGTTCAGTTTTAGGGAACCACCCAGGCCCAAACCACCCTATCCAAGGGAGTTCAGTTTTAGGGAACCACCCAGGCCCAAACCACCCTATCAAAGTGAGTTCAGTTTTAGGGAACCACCCAGGCCCAAACCACCCTATCAAAGTGAGTTCAGTTTTAGGGAACCACCCAGGCCCAAACCGACCTATCCAAGTGAGTTCAGTTTTAGGGAACCAACCAGGCCCAAACCACCCTATCCAAGTGAGTTCAGATTTAGGGAACCACCCAGGCCCAAACCACCCTATCAAAGTGAGTTCAGATTTAGGGAACCACCCAGGCCCAAACCACCCTATCCAAGTGAGTTCAGTTTTAGGGAACCAACCAGGCCCAAACCACCCTATCCAAGTGAGTTCAGATTTAGGGAACCAACCAGGCCCAAACCACCCTATCCAAGTGAGTTCAGTTTTGGGGATACAACCTTAAAATGTTATCGTGGCGATTTCACCAAACACCACCTCCAACATAAATCGATAGCCATAACCTATTTAGGCACAAGCCCTTCTCACCGTATCACCCAACAGTTTATACAGTACAACCAGAAATTATTGAGAATTTAAAGATTGTAAATGTTATGGTATTAATGTGAATATTAGCAGAACATAATTCCAGAATCAAAGACAGGAGAACAGTTAGTATTTTGTCAAGTCACCATGGGCAGCAATGCAAGCTTCAATGCGGCGGGGCATACTACTGATCAAAGAAGTTAGAAGGTCGTGGTCCATGCTGTCCCAATATCGGACCACCTCTCCTTTCATTTCAGCAATATTTGTCAGATTTTTCTTATTGACACTTTCCTACATAAGTCCCCAACATTTTCTATTGGATTTAGGTCAGGCCGAAACCAGGCCTGTGAATGCTTTGAACGATGTTTTGGGTCGTTGTCCTGCTGGAAAATCCAAACATTTCCATTGAACACGTGAGCAGATGGAAGTATATGTCCCTCGAGAATATCTGTGTACCGCTCACTGTTCATATTCCCTTCAAATACACAGAGGGGCGTTGCCCCTAACACAGATATGCCACCCCACACGTTAAATTTCGGACTCTACTTTGGGCGCTGATACAAAGGTTTTTCAGTTTGTTTGGTCCAGAATTTCAGTGTATTAGGAAACAGCCACACAGAACTTTCATCTGAGAAAATCACATTGTCCCAGTTAAAATTTCTATGCTGTAAGCACCAGTTCAACCTTCGCTCTTTTTGGTCAGGTTTCATGATCGGTGATGGAATTCCTCGACTTTTCTGCCAACCCATTGCATGCAGCTCAGTTCTAATTGTCTCCTTACAGACAGCCACAGTTCCTCTATCAATCATATCCAGCCTAAAGTTTTCTAAACTCCTTCGTTTGTTTTTAGAAACAAGAATACCAAGCCGCCTCCTGTCACCGATAGTCAATTTTCTGGGCCTACCTGCGCCTCCCTGGTGCTCAATGCCATATCCATTTGCAATATTTTTCAAAACACGATAAACAGTGGACAAAGGGATGCCTGTTCTACTTGAAATCACTTTAGCTGATCTGATGTCCTTGTTATAATACTCTAAAATCAACTTCCTCTTCTCTAAATCATCCATACTGAGGATCACTGAAAATGTCGTCTGCTAGCAAGTAAACAAAGGGGGATAACTCTTCACAAACTAATGAAAAAGGATTATCGGAGTTGTCTCTCTTGAATGAAACCAAGCACTTGTGGCTGGTCAAGGTTGTTTATACTAGAAATCCAATTAAACATATTCAAAAAAATTTCTCAATCATTTCTGGTCATGCTATACTAGTACTCCAATACATTGCAGACCCGGGTTTGAATTGATCTTCAGTAACCCATGCTTGTCTTAAGATGAGACTAACGGAATCGGGTGGTCAGGCTCGCTGACATGGCTCGCCACATGTCACCTTATCCCAACTGCGTATATCGATGTTCATGCTCTTGATCACTTGATTGTCTGATGCAGACTCGATTATACACAGAGCACCGCCATAAAACTGGAATATTGCTGAGGTCGGCGTTAGACAACAACCAAACCAAATCAAACCAATTGCTCAGATCGATGCTCATGCTGTTGATCACTGGATTGTCTGATCCAGATTCGATTATTTACAGCCCACAGCCATATAGCTGGAATATTGTTGAGATCGGTGTTAAACAAAAACAAACAAAACATACTTCGCAGTGGTTTCACAAAATTTGATTTGAATGTCGTTTCAGGCCACGATAACCTGTCCTGAGGGTTACACGTGCATCAAGGCATCCAACTTCGGACATCTTTGCAGTGAGTATCGGGATGATTTAATTAGTGATTTGTTTATAGATAACAGCAATATCGATTAGATTACCATAAAGCCGTGTTGATAAAGACTCGCTCATATCAGTTGGCACACAACATACCGTTAGACAAACGATCCGTAAAGATTACTTACAAAAAAAGAGAACAATTCGTACGTTCATTAAAATATAAAATGAAAACGTAAAATCAACGTTGACAAGGACAAGAAAGCAATTCTTGCTGTAAATATTTATTCGCATGGCAAAGATGACCGTATGATAAAATGACATCGTTGTGTTTGTTTATCTCATGCCTATATACACAGAACAACTTGATTTGATTTTTGGGGCATTTTGTCAAATATAACAACTTTTCGAACATGTAATTATTGATCAAAGCATATTGAATGTTCTTCTTCAGGATTTAATTAATTTGTGAATGACAGTCTGTTCATCGTTTGCAACAGCATTTGTATGAAATCATATCAATTAACTTGTTTGTATATATATACTAGCCACATAAAGAAACTGCATTGTCAAAATGTTATCCCAGGTGATAAGTACGATAACAATGTCAAAGGTACATATAAACTTTAATGGAGGGATCATGAGACCATAACAAGTCGGGAGAATTTCAATTGAAAAGTCAATCACAATGACGTCACGAGTCCACAAGCGGGACAGGGGTCAAACGACCATGTCACAAGCTCAATAACGGGTATGTCCACCATCGGCATTGAGAACAGCAGTGCATCGACGACGCATAGAGCCTATCAAACGTGCAAGGAAGGCTTGTGGGATGTCAAGCCAGATTCTCTCAAGTTCTGTTGCAAGGTCAAGGACGTTATCTGGCGGATGAGGAAGACGGCGTAGACGTCGATCCATCTCGTCCCAAACATGCTCTATCGGGGAGAGATCAGGTGAATTTGCAGGCCAAGGCAGTAAGTCAACGTTGTGGTGTTGCAAGAAATCCATAGCAACCCTTGCCGAATGAGGGCGGGCATTGTCCTATTGGAATGTTAACCCAGGGCCATGACGTTGCAGAAAAGGAATTGTCACAGGTCGAAGAATCTGATCCCTGTAGCCCACACCAGTTAAGTTGCCCTGAACAATCACCAAAGGGGTTCTTTGGCGTGCTGTTATTCCACCCCAAATCATCACGGAACCACCACCAAAGCGATTCCTCTCCAAGACACAGGCCTGTGCACAACGTTCTCCCACGCGTCTAAAGGCACGTTGACGTTCATCACTATGGGAAATGTTAAACCTGAACTCATCTGTAAAAACAACATTTCTCCACCAAAACAAGGGTCTGTGGACATGATTTCGGCACCACATTCGTCGAGCTTGTCGATGACGTTGTGTCAGGATAGGCCGTATGGCGGGACGTCGTGGTCTGATCCCGTAATGACGTAAACGTTGTCGAACTGTGTTGGGGTGGATACGGCGAAGTCCTGGGATGGTTCGGGCAGTCATCACTGCAGTCTGAAACCTGTGGCGAAGATGGGTCACCCTTATTCATCTGTCCTGTCTTGGCGTTGTTACACGTGGACGTCCAGAACGTGGCCGATCGATGACGTCATTTGTGTTCTGGTAGCGTCTCACCAGTGCAGAAATGGTGTTCCGGTGGCAGTGGAAATGTGCAGCCACTTGTCGTTGAGACATTCCCCCACGGACCATCCCAATGGCCTCATGACGTTGTGCAGACGTGAGCCTTGGCATGCTATGCGTTTCAATAGCCGTTTAATTTTTTGAACGATCGCAAGGGCAGGGGTTGAGCTTTCCAAAGTGACAGTATTGTTTGGCATTCATTTGCTCTGTTTGTCTTTCCCGGAATGCACGTGCAACAACGTATTGCACGTCTCAAGGACGAACCCACTGACGTCACGGAACGTGGCACGTGCATGCATGTTGGATACATGTCACTAATCTCTGAGTTTAAATCCTTATGTGTCTTCACAGGTTTGATAAATTTAGATTTTAAATTTTTGTATTCACAGTTTCTTTTTGTGCCTAGTATACATCAAATGTTACATGTACTTTTACTTTATGACCCGTTAAGGTCCGGGTTAGAATGAACCTTCAGTAACCCATGGTTGTCGTAAGAGGCGACTAACGGGATCGGGTGGTCAGGCTCGCTGACTTGGTTGACATATGTCATCGGTTCCCACTTGCGCAGATCAATGCTCATGTTGTTGATCACTGGATTGCCTGGTCCAGACTCGATTATTACGGACCGCCGCCACATAGCTGGAATGTTGCTAATGCGGCGTAAAACTAAACTTACTCACTCACTACTTCTACTTTCTAAAGTGAGTGAGTAGGGTTTTACGCCGCTTCTAGCAATATTCCAGCAACATCACGGCGGGGGACACCAGAAATGGGCTTCACACATTGTACCCATGTGGGGAATCGAACCCGGGCCTTTGGCGTGACCAGCGAACGCTTTGACCACTGGGTTACCCCACCTCCCCTACTTTATATAGCATTGAGTAACCTGAATTTAATATATCATGTATCAAGTGAAAAATGTATTTCTAAGTATCAAAACTCTGCTGCCCTATACCTTAATAAACTATAGCATAAGACAGATTAGTTTTGAAGGGAGACGATAATTTCAAACAAACATTTTAAGGACATCGGCATATACACTGAAAAATCCATTTTGTTACCCCCTACCAACACCTCCGAGAACCGACGATCAGTCAGTATTTCCAAGCACTTCATTTCGCACTGCACCAAACTACTGCCACGAAAGCTCCCCCACCGACCACTAATGTTGCCTCTAAGCGACCATAAATTCCCTTTCACATGACCATGGACGCTTAAACCACTCGCTAGCACTCGCCTGCTTTATTACCAATTATGTTTTTAGTTGGTAATCGTCTCTATAATTGCGGTATGGGAACACATGTCAATCTGTGAGAGAGAAGTCCCTCTGGTACATCACCAATGAGTGCGTCCTAAAGCACACTGGTGCCTTGACGAAGAACAAGAGCACAGTTGTAGCATCCTTGATTAAAGAGCGTGGGCGGTGGGGTAGCCTAGTGGTTAAAGCGTTCGCTCGTCACGCCGAAGGCCCGAGTTCGAATCCCCACATGGGTGCAATGTGCGAAGCCCAGTTCTGGAGTCCCCAACCGTGATATTGCTGGATTATTGCTAAAAGCAGCGTAAAACCAATCTCTCACTCACTCACTCAGTGCTTGTTAATGGATCAGATTTAACCTGACTCCGGATGATTTCTCAGACCTGTCACTCACTCACTCACTCACTCACTCTCACTCACTGTACAGAGTAAACTTGATCTAATATACCCATGTCGTTCATGTCTAACAGTGCATATAGCTGATCCCTGAGAGGACACTAACGGTACATCTGCAGATTCCAAGGTGTTACTTTTAACGTATAACTCTGAAAAGAGAAATACTACTCAGATCAGTGGATGAGTGCAGGCATGGCTCTATTGGTTTCGTTAGGAATGCACCACAGCCTTCTACAATATCTACAGTGCTTATGAATCGGTTGGTTACATTCGGCTTTTCTGGAATAGTTCACCTGTAGGAGGGCATCGTCATGTCATAGATGGCACCCTTAACGTGTGAGCTTCTTTGGTCACGTGGACAAGGCGTCCGACCTCGGATCAGATGTCCCTGGTTCAAGTCACATAACTATGGAATACTGTAAGGGACATTCTCGCGATCTCGCATTCTCGCGATCTCGTCCTTTGGAAACAAGCTAAAAATGCCAAAAGTGCGAGATCGCGAGAATGTCCCTTACAGTATCCCATACATAACGGTACATTGACGCCTAACGTGGTGATGAATACGTCCATTTCAACAAATATACTGAACCGCAAAAGAAACGCAAGTTACTATTTTCAAACATACGTTCCAAATGCATTCCTTTTAGGACAACAAAGTATACCATTATAGAACCAAGCATTCGAAGATGGTTTTGCCGTTGTTGCCGCTTATTCTTGACCATATCGCCCAAACGCAATCATTTTCATGTTTTTCGTGTTTTTTGCATGAAGTTTTTGTGTTTCACACAAAAATGCGTGCATTTCACTCCAATTTGAAGCTTTATAAGGCAGGTCATTCAAAAAACACCATAGAACACAAAATTGACTGTGACAACGCGGAGAAAACATGCCACGTCTTACTGAACAGCAACGAGGAATCGCCGTTGGAATGTTGCAGACCGGATCCACACCAACTGCAGTGGCCAGGCACTTCAGATGTCACGTGACAACAATCACAAGACTATCCGTAAGGTATCGTCAAACCGGTAATGTTCGAGACCGACCACGTTCAGGACGTCCCAGGGTAACAACGCCAGCGCAAGATCGTCACATCCGGGTGACTCATCTGCGTAACCGACAGCAACGAGCAACACAGACAGCTGCAACCATTCAAGGGCCACAACGTCACATCTCTGCAGACACTGTCCGTCGTCGTCTGAGGGCAGCAGGGATCAGATGTCGCCGTCCTTACGTCGGACCGATTCTGACGCAACGTCACCGCCTAAATCGTTTACAGTGGGCGCGACAACACCAGCGTTGGCGACGTCAACAATGGCAACAAGTGTTGTTTTCTGATGAGTCCAGATTCAACTTGTCCCACGCCGATGGCCGATTACGTGTATGGAGACGACGTAATGAACGTTACGCCAAATGTTGTGTTGTGGAAGCTGACCGCTGGGGAGGTGGAAGTCTCATGGTATGGGGTGGCTTCAGCTACCACCACAGAACACGTTTACACGTGTTTCGTCAAACGTGTGACTGCTGTAGTCTACAGGGACCAGGTCCTTCAACACCACGTTGTACCGCTATTCCAGGCCCAACCTCAGCTCCAGGCGTTCCAGCAGGACAATGCTCGTCCTCACACTGCACGGGTCTCTATGGACTTCCTCAGAAGGAACAACATTGCTGTACTGCCCTGGCCTTCTCTGTCCCCGGATATGGCACCAATCGAGCATGTGTGGGATGAAATTGGTAGACGGATACAGACAGCTTCTCAACCTCAAAACCTTAGAGATTTGGAAGCCAGATTGGTCAGGGAATGGAATCAAATTCCCCAACCCTTCTTTCAGACACTTGTTGACTCGATGAGACGTCGTTGTGCTGCCTGCATTGCAGCCAATGGTGGTCACACGCGCCCCTGATTGACACACTAGCTGTTTCGTGACATTTTTGGTGTGTGAGGGTGGAGTGATAACATATGCTTTTACAGTAAACTTGAGTGTTGTTTTCACCAGAGATCACGACTCATTTCTTCAACAATCACTTGTCTGTTGTTTTCGGGTTGTTTGTTCCAAAGATTCAGAAATATTGACATTTCTAAATCAACTTGCGTTTCTTTTGCGGTTCAGTATATAATCATAATCACAATTTATACACTACAATGACGGAGTAGTATGTAGCAGAGCGTAGAGTCATACATCCGCTCATATTCTTGCTGCTGCAGTCAATCTCACTTGCCTCGTGGACAAGGGGCGGTGGGGTAGCCTAGTGGTTAAAGCATCGTCATGTCGAAGACGCGGGGTTTGATTCCCCACATGGGTACAATGTGTGAAGCCCATTTCTGGCGTCCCCCGCCGTGATATTGCTGGAATATTAATGCTAAAGGCGGCGTAAAACCATATTTGCACTCGCACTTGTAGACAAGATGTCTTAAGAGGTCCGTGGTTCACGAAAGTCACAAAACTGGAATTGGACATTTTATGTCCGCTATACTCAGAAACTGATTTTGTGTGTGTTTCTCTTTGTCAGTCTGCGTGTGCGTGCATGTGTATGTTTATACTAATGCTTGTAAGCGGCAACTGCACCAATTTACAAGTGTTCGTGAAACCAGGCACGATACCCTGCCCTACCGGTAGCAAGTTCTGTAAATGTATTCAAAATTTAAATCATTTACTACTTATTGGTAAGCGTTTAAAACGAAGGTTGAAATACACGCACATACTTTTGATGAAACTTTCTAGTTAAGCTAGTTTCGCCGAGACGTTGCAGTAGGCGCTATCGACGACTTTGTGTACTGTAAAGACCCTGTTGTACAGCGTCATTGTACAAAGCTGCGGGCGTATATTTAGACACAACAGAGTAGAAAGCTGTAACTGAAACTTCTCAACGCTTTAAAGTCAGAAAATTAGATTTTCGCAGAAACATTTTAAAAAATGCTGATGAGAATCAGAAGTGGAGCCTGGTTATAACTAAAAACATCACGATCATATATCTGATAAAAGCAGAGTTCATCGCACAATTCCGATTATATCATGAGTTTGTTTCATGAATCACTAACACATAGGGATGATACCAGGTGTTCGCCAAAAGGTGGGCGTATACTACCCTACCGGTGGCACTTGTCACAAACACATGCAAAGACAAGTTAGTTGTTACCCTGCAAAATAACATGTATTTTGCTCACCTACATGTATAACGCATCACATGTTGTAAAGTCCTCCACGTGACGACTCTCAAATGACAGATCATCATCACCAGATCACACAATGTAAGCACCCGATCCTCAATTCCACCGACCCTTATTATAAGCATGGGGACCCGTGAAGGTCCAGGCTAGAATGAACCTTCAGTAACCCATGCTTGTCGTAAGAGGCGGCTAACGGGATCGGGTGGTCAGGCTCGCTGGCTTGGTTGACACATGTCATCGGTTTCCAGTTGCGCAGGTATGCTAATGCTGTTTATCACTGGATTGTCTGGTCCAGACTCGATTATTTACAGACCGCCGCCATATAGCTGGAATATTGCTGAGTGCGGCGTAAAACTAAACTCACTCACTCACTATAAGCATTGGCTGCCAGGAATCTCTAACGCGATAAATTTCCAGGACGGGGCACAAGTGGTATTCGCATCTTAAATCTAAAGAGCCACCTAGATTTGATACGTTTTCGAATAATTATGATTAAAATACTTTTGTTTGTGTATGTTTCAGTTCCACATCGATGTGCTCAGAGGCGCTATATTGGTAGATGCAGAGCCAGAAAGCCACGCTACTATTTCCACATAAGAACATTGAGTTGTCGCCCTTTCCACTATGGTGGATGTCGGGGAAATTCAAATCGTTTCTATTCAAGGGACGAATGTGAAAGGGAGTGCTCCCCACTTTAAACCATATATGGCAGTGGAGCCATTCCAAATACACAGAATAAATACTTAAAGCAACAATATAACAGTTTTCATTCTGCTAAAATATTTAGGCCCATGAAGATCCGGTCTTCAGCAACCCATGCTTGTCGTAAGAGGCGAGTAACGGGAACGTGGGGTCAGGCGGCCGATGGTTGTTGATCATGGAAAAATTGCGTGGATCGATGCTCATGCTGTAATGTTGATCACTGCGTTGTCTCAAACCAGACTCGATTATTTACAGACATAAAGCTATATTGCTTGAGCGCGTACAAGCGTTACATACAAACAAACAAAACATAAGGTATTTACGCCGCGTTAAACTCATTTCACAATATCCCAGCTATATGGCGGCGGTCTGTAAATAATCGAGTCTGGACCAGACAATCCAGGGATCAACAGCATGAACATCGATCTGCGCAATTGGGATACGATATTATGTGTCAACCAAGTCAGCGAGCCTGACCACCCGATCCCGTTAGTCGCCTTTTACGACAAAGATGGATTACTGAAGATCAATTCTAACCTGGATCTTCACGGGTCTCAGTGCGAAAGAATTACTCAGTCTTGACTATCCTCAGAAACAGATTCCTTTTGCTATAAAGAGATAAATAACTGTGAAAATCAACCATGACACCAGGTGTTCAAGACAGTCTATCACCAATGCATATCCTAGTGTTGCGATTGTGCATGTATGAACATCACCTGCTGCATTTATATATCATAGCCTGGCCCCGATTTCTAGAAACAAACAGAAGCCTGAGCTTTGACCTAAGCTTTATTCACGTTATTCACGTTTGAGAAAACTAAAACATGTTTTTTCCTAAGATAAACTGAACTCGATATTAAACCCAACCTTAGTAGACAAGTTAACTTAATTTGTTTGAGCTTTTTCTTTCTTTTTTCCTTTTACTGTTTTTGGTTTTAGAAACGTGACTGTGCTAGAAAGTCAGCGGTTTCAAATTCTCGCACTCAGTTTGAAATTTGAGTCAAACCATAAGTTTGTAGAGAAATCGGGGCCATTGTTCAAGCAAGATGGAGGTATTTTGTCCAGATGTATGATAAGGCATACCTCGTCGGCGTATCAACAAAATGCACACTATGACATCTCTACGGCGAAGGCAAAGAATACATCATACTCCAACGGAGGGCACGCTAAGGCTAGACAATTACACTGATTCTTGCAAAATAGGCATTCAGTTGTTATTATACAATTAATTACTATGATTAGCTATGTAAGACTTGTAGTGATATGTTAAATGGCACTTATTGTGAAACAGCTGCCTCTCAAATATCGCCTCAATGATATTATTCATGTCATAACACTTAAACTTAAGGTCGCTGTGTTTAAATTTTGAAACAAAGACATACAATATTAGTCTGTTAAATCATATATAAGATATATATATTACAAGTGTGTATACTACTACATTCGCAAATAATACTTTAAACATTATGTTAAATGATTAATGTTTACTGCAAACGCTTTCGCAGCAGCATATGGTTGGTATCGAAGGATACTATATTTCCTAACCTACACTCACAATTTGCCTCTTTCCGTCCCAGGATATAATGACAATATACGTCGAGGTTCCCTTTGTCAAGCAAACAGATTTCCTTGTAAATGAAAGGCTTAGATAAATGCATCAGAGACAGAAAATCTGTGATGCAACTGGTGCCCCTTGAAAAACGTTTGTTTCATAGTTACAAAGCTTGCAGACTAAAAACACTCGACGCTACAGTAAACAGGAAATGATATGATATTGTGGGACCACCATTTTGTTATTGATGATCCCATGTGCCATTTCTTTCCGCGGCTTTCAAAATGTAGAAATATGTTAAATGATCAAATTTAATACCGGAATTTAAACTATAAGGTAATTAGTTGTTACATTTGGAGAAAGAAGATACCACCAGTTTGAACCGTTTACAACATGAGTGCAGTAAGAGTTGCTTCCCTTGATGATATTTTTCCCTATGACGTGAAAGCACGTTAAGTTGTGAGGACAAGATAGCAAAAAATATTTTTGTAGTGAATCACTGGGTACCTGGAAGACAAAATCAGGATGTCTTTAAATATTGCGATGATATATTTTACCTGATGAAAGTATTTTTTCCTGAAATACCATCGCCTCGACATGTAAGTAATTTCTTTCAGTGAACAAGTACTTAAATACGAACACACTATTATAACAGACTCTATTCCGTAGTCAGAGAACGACCCGATGAAACAATGCATCATCGTCAGTCAGGCTGAACATCATAACAGAAACATCTTTATTCGATGAATACATTTAAGTTACATTCGGTACATAAGACATGGATTAATGTTTCTTGTGCATACATGTACACGTATAATGGCCATAATTGTGAATATGTCTTTGTTTTTCCATACCTTTCCAATCACAAAGAGAATACATCAACCTTATGACATTGTTCATTGCCCATTTTGGCAACCAGGAATTTGAAACAGAATGGGAAGTGTCCGGGATTATTGTCATTGAAACTTGAGTTTTCCTCTTAACGCTCACTATCTGGGTTTTTAATGATTGATTCAATCACCTTTAAATATAATTTATTTTAACAATAACAAAATCCGAAATGAAGGCTTTAGCAACCATGAATGTATTGCTGCTATTAAAATATTTTGTATTTGTCATCCGTTATATTCTGTCGCTTTCAGACTGTATTTACAAATGACCTTTCCACTTAAATGAAACTTTCTTCTGAAATTTTGTGATAGGGTGTAGATAAACAACTTCACAATAGATCTCCGCCGAGCTGACCACAATAATTATCATCATATTCATTTTGAGGCCAACCCTCACAAGTACCAACATACATCGAGCGTTTACGTTCACGTAACAGACGCACGGCAACACATACACATCGGGTACACAACAAATAAACGTTTAACCTTCGTTGAGTTACGAGTGTTGGCATGGTCCTCCTATCGCCTACATGGCACGGTTCCGAGGAGTGAGTCAGTTTAGTTTTACGCCGCTTTTAGCAACATCCCAGCAATATCACGGTGGGGCCACCAGAAATGGGTTTCACAAATTGTACCCATGTGGGGAATCAAACCAGGGTCTTCGACGTGAAGAGCGAACGCATTAACCACTAGGCTACCCCACCGCCCCGGTCTTCAGGAGTGTGCTTCCACTATGTTACATTCGGTTGTTGCCAGTTACTGTCTTGAACTCACCTCTAACCAACGGGTGTCTCTGCATGAATATCATGGTGTCTCAGTCCATCTATATCTAACTATGATCCAAAGAGATTCAACAGAGACACTGCTAGCAGTGGGTCATGTGATTTTTAGTATAAACATCTCCGTCAATATTGATGAAGCGAGCACTCAGGTCTAGAACCTCACTCAACCTATGGCACGTTGGTTACTGCTTGCTGGGTCAGCTATGCTAGGGTCCGTTGCAATCCGGGAATCGCTTAGAGTAAGCAAATGAATCACTTATCCCGGGCTTGCAACAGCTCGAAGCGTTTCTCACTCTTCCAAAATGGCGGAGCGATTACCGTTTGCTCGCCTGGCCCGAATGAAGAACGTATTAGAAGAGTCTCGATGACGAGCTGATGAATTTGTGGCTACTGACGACTACATTGAAGATATGGAACACACTGAGGATGCTGGGATGAAAGCTCCTTTACCATTTCCCAGCTGACCAAGTCAAACAATTTTTGTTCAGCCGTTGAATTCAGATATCCCTAAGCAGCCATTTTGGTTTGAGAACGAACCGACTTCTTAAAGTGATTGGTGCGATTGCAAGCGGCTGAAAGTTAGCACTTCGTTGTCAGTTTGGTTTCGATTGGTTGTTTGCAACGCACCCCTATTCAGTGTATCAAGAACGGTTCTTAAAGGGCTCGCAAACTGTTCTGTAGACGGCGCCCAGTCTAGGTCACGAATCAATGGGTTTAAAATATTGACCAATACCATAGGACAAATTAACCATAACAATTATGTTCTTAACTGTAATATAGGAATTCATGCCAATGGATCAATGATTTATAATCAACATGAACTTTATTTTCACAGCCACATCAGTTATCATCATCACTATACATCTGCGTCGTGGAGATGGTTAAGATCACTTGTGTCGGCAGTGGTGACCCGGAAGTGTTGATCCCTGGGCTCGTAAGCATAGTGTGAGATGTTGAACGCTGTAGTGAGCTGATGAGAGTGGTATACCTGAGCCTGTTAGTAGTGGGTGATGACGTCTCACACATCCTCATTGTCATCTTTATAGTAGTCATCTTCTGTAACAGAACACTAACTATAATCATCACTGTGACCATGGTCAAGAATCATATATTGTCCATGCACAAGGTTCATAACATGTTCTTATTAAAGGGACACACTGTCAGGAGCAAACCACAGATTCCAGTTAAAAACTCGGCCGTTGCTTTGCAGCATTAGCGTAGGTGAGCAAAGCGTCCTTAAAATCTGATAAATGTTAACTACAATAACTTTCGAAAGCTCTTTAAAATGAGTGAGTGAGTATGGTTTTACGCCGCTTTTAGCAACAGTCCAGCAATCTCACGGCGGGGGACACCAGAAATGGGCTTCACACATTGTACCCATGTGGGGAATCGAACCCGGGTATTCAGCGTGAGGAGCAGACGCTTTAACCATTAGGCTATCCCACCGACCCCTTTGAAATGATATTTCAACAACATAATATTTGCTGATAAAGCGCATGATAACCTGGATGCAAGTAGTAGATAGTTTGGAACTATCTACTACTGATGTATATAGACCAGTATTTGTTTTTCTTTTGTACATATTCTCATACAATGTCCTGAAATAGGTTCTTTTAGCACCGCAATGTATACAACTTGAGAAACAAGAAATTTCCGAAATTAACAGGAAGACAAACTTGAAGGCTCGTTTTAAAATGGAGAGAGTCCATTATTGAAATGTTATGTATTATATTGTATTCTATTCTATTGACTTTCGCGAAGAAGTGTGTTTGGACAAGTGTAAAAAGAAAGCGATATCTTGCGATATGTTTGAATTGCAGGAAGGAACCACGTTTACTGCTCATTTTTCTTATTGAGATCAGATCCTATACTCTGAAACGATACCTCCATGTGTGTAGATCTGAGGACACAGAAACAGAAAGTGAAAACAGTTAAACCTGCTGATCTTTCAGCCAATCACATGTTAGTTAAACTTCACTTATAACTACCACGAATTCGAATGTCAACGGGCCCATATACGACACAGGGAATGAAAGATCCACAACAAATATAACCTATACTTTAAATTATATCTTCGAGATACGGGAATGGGTTGGGAAAGATTAACTCACTCATGACTGCTATAGAAGTGTCCTCTGACCCTGACATGAATCGGTACTGTATCTACATGTAACTGAAATGAGACTTATCGTTCATACGCATGCCACTGAAGCCTTTGCGACAAAAGCGTAGGACAAAAGCAATAGCTCAATTTGTTCAGCAAACATCTATAACTGCGCGAACTTCTACATCTGTCCGAAATGGCTGGGAAGGTCCAGGCCAAAATATGAAGGATTGTTTTCATGGAATTCAACATAATTCCCTTTGGGGTCAATACTTCCACGAACTTCCACCAAATGTGCTTGTGAGTGAGACGTAGATCATGTATTTTATCAAACATCCAATATTGGTGGCAGTTGAAAGTCCTCCTGAATTTGAATAATCTTGTATAATCTCTCCACATCTCTTAAATCTATCTGCCCACCTATCAACAATGGCAAACAACCTTTAAAGCTGATACCATTTCCGCATGGATGGAATTGAATCATGAAATTTCACATCCTGATACCAGCTGACAGAGTCATTGACAAATTGGTCCATTTTCACCGACAAAGAAAACCTTGTCACGTTGATACCAGCAGAGATGCTAGTGGTTTTGCAATTCGTTGCAATTGATACATGCCAACCGTTAAGGGTCTCCTGTGCATCCTTCGTATTTAGGCTCAGACTTTGTCAGCCACCCCTCTACACTACTGCTACTACCTGAAGCCGCCACTACTCCTAAGCCATAAAGGTCAGAGGCTATGTGCAAATCCTGACCTTCTGCTATCGTACTCATCGCAGACGACTTCCGGCGAACATTTTGTTTGACCCGGATGCCAAGATCACGTGACATCCGTCTCAGTTGAAAGATCTTCTGTCGAGTTGCCCTTCCAAATCTCATGTAAGCTTCCCTGTGATGATGAAATAAAATGTTACATATTTCTATGCCATCAATAAGGAACAACCCAAACTGTCTGTTGCATTTGGCTACCTACACAATTAAATTTAAGTTAATACTGTCTATTCGGGCAATCACATCGCATAACAACTGCCTGAAAATGGTTTCCAAAGCAAATCTATCATATCTCGGTCAATATATAAACATTCCATTTCAGCTAACCGTTGCGTTAGGAATATAATAACGAAGAAGTATTCAGTGTCGCATTTGATAAAAGGGATCTTCTGGTCAGGCTCGCTGACTTGGTTGACACATGTCATCGTATTATATATTCCGTAGATCGATGCTGAAGCTGTTGATCACAGGATTGTCTGGTCAAAGTCAAGTCAAAGATACTTATTGTACTTAAGGCCTCCGGCCCATATACAAGTAATGCAGGTATATACAAGTATACAGCACATGTTACAGACATTTCACGAAACAAATTACGTTTCAGATAAGATATTGCCTCTACGGATAACAGCATGCTTTATATAAAGCGCTAGATTACGTATTACATTTTCATTTTTGGAGTATAGAATGGAAACAAAGGCAGTTGAAGGATATTTTAACAGATAATTATTTGGATAATATTCTTTTCTTAAATCAGCATAATGTGGGCATACAAAAGTTAAGTAAATTTCATCTTCTACAGCCGAGCTACATACTAGACATATTCTAGACTGCGCCTTCTTAGCACGTGATTTCAGATGTAGACTCGACTCCAGGCTCGGTTATTTACACACCGCCACCATATAGCTGTAATATTGCTGATTGCGGAGTTAAACAAAAATACACATAACATTTCCATCTTGGTTCGTCTCATCCCTCCTGCATCCAAATCTGTCAGCGATAATGAAACAGGAAGGTCTAAACCTGGTACCTTGTTTGAAACACAAGTACTGTATCTTAGGGAAGCAGGGTAATCATAAACCCAATTTGTTTAATCCAAGATCAAGAATCACATAACTCACCTGGCTGTCATTTGTCTTTTCCTTGTAATGATTTCATACACGATCAGGAAGAGCAACACCAGGAAGAAGGCGGCCAAGGTGAGCCCAACAACTGCCAATACATTCAGGTGTGATAGTGATGAAGCACAAGATATGTACATACCACAATGAAAGTTGTTGCGATGAGCATTAGGTTTGAAAATACAATCGATATCAGTGTCTGAAACATCGATACTATTCTGGGGAAACCCTAAGATGAACACCAAGGTAAACCGTCCTATTGTTTTCAAAATCCGCGAATGTATGATGTTTTATACCGTTTCTAGCAATATTCCAGCAATAGAACGGCATTGCAGCATAACGGACAGGGATGCTGGAAAGTACGGATACGGGTATGGTGCTGATACAAGTGAATCAGAGCGAAATCGGGTTTTGAACCTATGATGGATGATCCTGATGAAACTAACGCTGTACAGCGAAATTCTAAAAATAAATAGAAAAAGGTATGATTGATAATAAGCGTCACTTACATTCCCAGTTGGTCTTACAGTTATCACTTCCGCAGCTGCAATAAGAACATTAAATAATTGTAAAAATAATACTTATAAAGTATTACGGAAATTAAAATGTCACTCAGTCATCATCATCTTCACCACCATCACCATACTGACGACAACGATGATGATGATGATGATGATGATGGTGGTGGTGGTGGTGGTGGTGGTGGTGGTGATGGTGATCGTTGAACTCTCCTGTTTCTTCACATTCAGAAAATACATGCGCAATTTAGCCTTCGTCGTTTGTTATATTTACGTTCCCCACAATACTTACGATTCTTGATGTAATTCCGCTGTTGTTGGTTCTGGAAGCAGAAGAAATCTTCTTTAGCTGCCTCAGGTCTTTCATATCGCAACATCAAATGCATATTAATAATGGTTATTTCACATCTCGCGTTTAACGTAACTTGTGAATTCGAACTATCAGGAACGGTATCGCAACGTATGCCCTCCAAATGTGTTTCTGTTAGTCCCATAATATATCCGTACAGTTTTTGAAACCATTAATCGTCCATCATACAATGATTCCTTTTGCCGAATCCGGATATAGCGGAATGAACTGGACTGACATGTGACATGTGACTATTACACTGAGACTAGGGTTGTTTGTGACTGATTGAGGTAGGGGGATCACCACTGGAAACTATGTGTGGTATGTTTACGTAGTTGCCTGCATGATCAAAACCCAGGGCACTCTCCATGGTAACAACTAAATGTATCGCAATGTAAAATATCTATACCACGGGCGACGAGACAAGGAGCTGCTTAACCCCGCTGTCAGCCAACTCTGCAAACAGGTCTGAATGGGCAAACCAGTGCATTAGAGCCAAGCCCCTGCTAAAATGGCATGCACTCACCAAACACACCAGATCTTACCAACGGTTTCACTTAAAGCGGATCTCATGATATACATACATGCGATATAAGGTTCCTATCCTTGTCAAGAATCCAACCCGTGAAGATCCGGGTTAGAATATTGATCTTCAGTAACCCATGCTTGTCGTAAGAGGTGACTAACGGGATCGGGTGGTCAGGCTCGCTGACTTGGTTGACACATGTCATCGGTTCCCAATTGTGCAGATCGATGTTCATATTGATGACCACTGGATTGTCTGGTCCAGACTCGATTATTTACAGACCGCCGCCATATAGCTGGAGTATTGCTGAGTGCGGCGTAAAACTAAACTCACTCACTTGTCAAGAATTCCCACAAAGGCGGATTACGACCAGGGTGCCGTTGTTCAAAACAGCCTTTCCGTTAAGACCGTCGTACGCCTATGTTAAGGTATGGGGGTTACAGTCACCTTAGCGCTAAGATCACCAAGGGCCCACTTGCACAAAGCGATCTTTGCGCTTTGATCCCAAAGTCTATGTTTTGTCATGTCTAAGCATTAAGATCGCTTAGTGCAAGTGGGACAATAGCGGTGTTCTACAAAGCAATCTCGGCGCTAAGACGATCGTACTTAAAACATCACATAAGGGGCGGCGGGGTAGCCTAGTGCATGGTTAAAGCGATCGCTCGTCACGCCGAAGACCCGAATTCAATTCCCCATTTGGGTACAATGTGTGAATTCGAAGTTCATTTCTGGTGTCCCCCGCCGTGATATTGCTGGAATATTGCTAAAAGCGGCGTTAAACCAAACTCACTCACTCAATCACTCACTTAACACAGCCGCAGCACTACTTTGAGGAACTGGTTTCTGGACTGAGATTTTGTTACTCCTTGGCATTGCGTCCTCAGTACGCCCATATCGTTTTACCATAGTGATATGGTCCTCAAGTAATTATACACTTTGTCAACGGATAGTCTTATATCATGAGTTCACATAGATTATATTACGAAGTCGTTATTACCTATACACTTTCTGCCCATCCTGAGTCCAAGTCTCCTGGAGTCGTCATCGTAGACTGACCTACAGACGCACAGGAAGCCCCCGAGGGTGTTGATGCACCAGGAGCCGGGGTCGCAGTCGTTGTAGTCGCTGTGCCTGCATTCGTCCAGGTCTGTAAACAGCAGTACAACGCTTTAAGTAACGCTGAATGTATTGTGTCAGGTTTTTTTTTATAGTTTTGGACTTATCTTCAAAACAACTGTTTTCCCTGCCTGATTTAAAAGAAATACATTTTAGGACATGCTCTGTTGTTTTGTAAAACCTGAGGCAGAATTATCTTTATAGCATTTAATGGAACAATTTTTAGAATAAAAAAAATGGTTGATCATTCACAGAGATCTAACTGATTCCTGATCAACGCCACGACGTTTTTTTCTCATAAATACATACATTCAGACGTGCAGTTGAAAAGAAAATGGAAGGAAGACTGATTTGATTGTTTTGAAAATTATTTTGAAAATAACACTAAAGAAGGTAGGTAAGCATTGAATCGATGTACTGTATTCAACGAATCGATGGTACAGCCTCACTAAGGTTGTTTTGAACAACAGCACCCAGGTACAATCTCACACAAACGTTTTCCATGACGATATTTTCTTTGGACATACATTACGTCCAATTACCATTTGACATCAAGACATCGTGTTATACTTTTGCCACATATATATTCGATTACTGACAGCTATCGCTATAGATATACTACACAAAAGAAGTTAAGGGCCACCATAATTTATGATTGTATAGTACAGTGCTCGAATCATGTCATGGCTTATTAACTATAGCGATATCAAAGAATCGGGTTGTCCTTAACATTTTTTAGTAATATATTCCGAATATCAGGATATGACTACAGTGTTGATACACAATACATTCGTACAATATTCTACTCGACAAAACTTACCTTTGACTTTAACGTGACTAAAATATGGTGCGCCGACTTTTAACCGACTCTGTCCCAATTCGCCATAAGACCTGATGTAACAGTATTGAAACAAGTTTTAGCAAAGAGTGTTTTCGTTCTCGTTTAGCATAATTCAGCAATATCACGGCGGTGACACCAGAAATGGGCTTTACACATTGTACCCATGTAGGGAATAGAACCCGGGTCTTCGGTGTGACGAGTGAACTCGTTCAACACTAGGGTATTCTACCTTCCCTGGTAGTAAATATTGTATTTACTCAGTCTTTACTCTATATTCCAGCAATATTACGGCGGGGAACAAAAGATACAAGCCTCACATATTGGTCCTGTGACGTCGTACGTCGTACGAATATGCATGAAGCATTTCTGCATCCCACCATCCACAAGGAAATGTATCGTTTCAGTATCCATCATTATAATGTGTATACAATACGTCTTAATAAGGAACACATACATACAAAAGCTCTCTTTGTTCTCAAATTTTAACAGTTGTAAAGATAAAGATAAATTATTGATAAAGTGTCTGCCCGGTGAGCGGAAGTTCAGTGGTTTGATCCAAGGATACTTCTTATCAAAAGAGGGGCCGGTTTTATAGTGATAGCCTGTTGGGATTTAACCCAGCAGCTTATCATGAATACCCCAGTCAGACACGGTACACTTCGACTCAGCCGAAGACTCCTTGTCCTGTCCCCTCAACACCAGGCGCCAGGCAGGGTAACACCAAGTATACACTGACTATTGGTATGAGTGAGTGAGTTTAGTTTTACGCCACTTGTAGCAATGTTCACGGCGGGGAACACCAGAAAAAGGCTTCACACATTGTGTTCATGTGGGGAATCGAACCCGGGTCTTCGGCGCTACGAGCAAACGCCTTAACCACGAGGCTACCCCACCGCCCCTATTGGTATGACAGGATTGAGCCGAGGACCTCCCGCTCTCTTTCCAAAAGACAACGGAGGCATCCCATATAAAACTGACGAATGGATTGGGGTTTTTTTCGAAATAAAATGTAATATTGATACTTTGGCAAATACTCAACACCAGGCGCAACAACAAGTACACACTGTCTATACGTATGAAACAAATGGGATGGAGCCATCGACCTTCAGCTCACCTTCCAAAAGACCACGAAAGCACCCTTATGAAGACTGATATTTTCGAAATAGAATGTAAATATTAATACTTGGGGAATACTTAACAATGAATAAATTTTACTCATTCAAATTAGCTCTAACACACATATATGTGATGACTCTTGAATCTACTAATAGCGGAACAAAGTCGTGTGGTGCATATCACCTTTCTATTAATAGAACTAACAAATCTTCTATGAGCTTTGGCTTCATTGGGTTGTACTTCCGGGCTGTCACCTGGACAACGGCGGACACATTAAGACCCGGATGGAGATCGGTGATATTGAGCAGTGAACTGCGCAGGTACTTGGAGGGGAGAGAAGCGTTGCGGAACATGTTGTCAAGCTGTAAAACAAATAGAATATAACACTGGTCGCATTATATACTGAACCACAAAAGAAACGTCGCTTTTCAAAATCAAATGCAAAATGTTGTTTTTGCAAGGTGGTGTTTTTATTATGATTGTACCGTTTTGTTAACATGTGTTTCAATCCAAATTGACAGTCATTACCAACATCAGTGTGTTTTCTGATGAAAAAGCATATCGACCAAACGCACCGAAAAAGGCAGACATCTTAAAAGGTTCCGTATGACATTCGAGAAAATGAAAATGCACGTGCATGTGCATGTCGTGACAACCCTACCAATTAAAGCGAGTCCCAAACTCGCCTGGAATCATTTTTGTTTTGACACAATCACCATGCCACGACTTACGAGAGATCAGAGGAACCAAGTCTTGGGACAATAGCAAGTTGTCCAGACTGCACAGAGGGTAGCCAATCATATTTATGTTCATGTTAGGACAATCTACCGACTGCAGGAGTGGTATGAGGTCACTAACAACATCCAGGACCGTTCACGCAGTGGGCGACATTCAGTAACATCGCATCGTCAAGACCGACAGATTGTGCGCCACCATCTGCAGGATCACTTTCCGACAGCGACGGAAACAGTTGTGACCAATCATGCCGATACAGAGCGTCGACGTTTGCGCGGAAGAAATCTCTGCTGTCACAGACCCTATCGAAGTCCTGTCCTCACCGCTCATCATCGCCAAAACCGACTGTAATGGGCAACTCAGCATCGAAATTGGCGTTATCGACAATGGAGAACTGTGCTTTTATCTCATGAAAGCCGATACTGTGTTTCGACAGTCGATAGCTGAGTGAGAGTATGGCGAAGGCTTGGTGAACTGTTTTCCAATGAGTGTATTCTTGAAAGAGACTCATGGGGCAGTCCAAGCATCATAGTGTGGGGTGAAATCGGTGTGAACCAGTTTGTTGACACCGTGGTGTTCCAGAATCTTGGTCCAGGATGAGGGAATGACATGACAGCTGCTCCCTATATTTATTAAGTCATAAAGACCCCACCACATTTTGGACGTTACAGAAAACACGTCTTCCAGCAAGACAACGGTAGTACCCACACTGTCAGAGCAACATTGGACTTCCTAAGACAACCTGACACCAAACCCTAGAATAGCCTGCACTCAGTCCGGCTTTAAGTCCAAAAGAACACCTTTGGGATGAGATTCAAAGAAGACTGAATGGCCTCCAACCAAGGCCGACAACTGCTACTGGACTCGACCGGGCATTTCACAGAGTATGGACCCAAGTGTATATGACACATCAACCGGCTAATTCATTCCATGTTCAGACGATGCAACGCTTTCATGGATGCCCATGGAGGCCACACACGATACTGACTTTGGGGTACCTTAATGGTACCATTTCTGGTGATTTGTTTGTGTGAACTCTAAATGTGATTCCCTAAAATGTGTTAACCATAATTGTCAAGTTTGAACTCAGTCCTCAGTTTTGATTGTTAATTAGAGTGAATTAAAGTGTGTACTTTAAGAAACCGCTATCGGTGCGACATTTCTTTTGTGGTTCAGTATATGGTTCATCATTCTCAAAATCAATTCTGAAATCAAATATCACATTATTATTTTTTATTATTGTTAAATCATTGATAATTTGACATCTTCCATATGGAGGTTAATAAAAAACAGGAAATTTATACTTTGGCAGTCAAACCTGGTAGATCAAGCTTCACTCTGTCATTCAATCTAGTATGATGAGATGAGAGGTATTGCGGTTAAGCGTTCAAGACAATTGGTCTTATATAGTGACATCATGCACGTGTGTGCGTGTACGACGTGTGTGCGCATGTGTGTGGAAGATTGTACTTTTCCGGATTTATAATACTAGCTCAGTGAGATAGTTTATCATTGTTAAACAACGTATACTGACTCTGAAATGACCAGTCGTTGTTGTATTTCCTAATGTCGAGCACAAGGTGAAAAGTACCATCTTTCAAAATATGATAAAATGGAACCACCGACCTTCTACTCCCCGCACAGAATCCACCCACTAGTGACAAGAAGACGAAGTGGAATGACAACTCATATGATTGTCATATAAACATTATTATAATTGTCAGTGCTAAGGAATAATGATCATATTATAGTAATATAGTATAATCATTTCTAAAAGAAATAGAGTAAACTACAGTTATAACGAACTCAAAGGGACCATATTATAGTAATATAGTATAATCATTTCTAAAAGAAATAGAGTAAACTACAGTTATAACGAACTCAAAGGGACCATATTATAGTAATATAGTATAATCATTTCTAAAAGAAATAGAGTAAACTACAGTTATAACGAACTCAAAGGGACCATATTATAGTAATATAGTATAATCATTTCTAAAAGAAATAGAGTAAACAACAGTTATAACGAACTCAAAGGGACCACAAGCTTTAGTTCGTTATAAACGTAGTTTGTTCTTAGCATTCCTACGGATAATATACAGCAATTGGCTGTATCCCAACGAAACGATCGACATATCCACCAGTTCGTAATATCCATTCTCTTTATAGTTGTAGTATACTATTCCCATCACTACGACGATGATGATAACGAAAGAAAATGACGGGTAGACGTCAGAGACGATGTCGCATTCTACGTACCCCAACCAGCGTTATCCTTGACCTCATCTCGGAGTATCGATCAGAACTTCTGTTGGCAAGACTAGGGTGGAATGTGATGGGCAAGTAATCGTATGTGCCGGCCTCCATGGTAATGTTGAATGAGACGTGATAGGACTGGGTTGCTGAAACAAGTGAAAGTTAAATACATTTAAACACCGTTGTGTTGCAGGGCGTTATCAGATAGTTGATCGGAACGAAAAATGGTTAACTAAGAAGAAATATGCATGGACAGAACTGTGCAAACGAGAATGCTCTTTCTTCAGATTGAAATTAGCGTGATAACTTCAAAGGAAAAGTTATATAGTTTATGGAATACTAACTCGCCATACAGCTCCATCTCTCACACATGGTATTCAGGTTATAACTACCATGATAAACGATACGTATTAGCCAACTATCCAGAGACAGAGAAAAGCAATTAAATTATTTCGGGTATTCATGTTAATTGATGTATCTGCATGTCCATATGTACACCATGAAAGTTACTTACGGGTTCTCTGGCTTAAGGGACCGTGATGCACTGTACTATTTGACGATTACATCATTAAATCATTTCAAGCCCATAATCCAGATGCGATTCAAAGCATGTGTGCAATGTGCGAATCTGGTTTCAGATGCTCCCGCCTTGATGATATTGGGCTACTTTAGATGCTGCTTCAGGCCGTGTATGTGATTTGATTGAATATTGTCGGACCCTTTAAAGTAAGTGAGTGAGTGAGTGAGTTTAGTTTTACGGCGCATTCAGCAATATCCCAGCTATATGGCGGCGGTCTGTAAATAATCAAGTCTGGACCAGACAATCCAGTGATCAACAGCATGAGCATCGATCTGCGCAATTGGGAACCGATGACATGTGTCAACCAAGTCAGCGAAACTGACCACCCGATCCCGTTAGTGGCCTCTTACGACAAGCATAGTCGCCTTTTATGGCAAGCACATGGGTTGCTGAAGACCTATTCTACCCCGGATCTTCACGGGTCCCTTTAAAGTGAACGTTAATGTGTCTGGAATATGTTTCTTAATATTTTAACATGGTCTGGTTCAAATAAAAAGAATCATTCACAAGATTACCAACGAAAAGTTTCCATGTCACAATAATTTGGCCTCTGAGTATAGGAACGACCCATCATGCCGCTTAAGATGCTGTACAGTATATAACAAGTTTTATGGATAACAACTTCTTTATTTTCGTGAGTGCGACGTTTCGATACAGATTCTTGTACCGTTGTCAAGCAAGAGTGATACATGAAGTCTAGGAGCTGCATATATATACTGTATATAACAATGAAACAACATAATAGACAAAGGAAACAACATAATTGCCATGATTGGCTTAAGCAGTAAGCTGATGAAGCCAGTAAGTACACATAAGGATAGTGAATGGAAGCCAGAGATGTAGTTACAATGAGATGTTTATACAATGGATGCGAAGTTTATACAATAACAGACTGGGCTTGGTGGAGAGTGGATCATAAGCAGATGGAATGAAGTATCCTTGGTCACGGTTGATGGTAGGCTTGTGGCGTTTGATGAATGGCTTCTGTGGGCTTGCGTTTAGTGAAGTCCGTTTGGTTGTTGGCGAGAATGGTGATGTCGGACCACTCTATTTGATGATTAGGGTTGGCTTTGATGTGGTCAGAGATAGCTGATTTGGTGTCGGAATTAGCAAACAGAGGTGCGATGTTCTTTTGACTCGGGTGTTGATGGGTCGGGATGTTTCACCTATGTAGCATTGTCCACAATCACAGTCTATTTTGTAAATAACACATTTCGGGTTGTTGTTGTTGACGGTGGGTTGTTTTCTTCCGTTGGCATGGAGGAGGTTGTTGAGGCTGGAGGACGCTGAGAAGGTAGTGGTATCTATTCCTGCCTGTTGTTTCAGGAGTCAAGTTGATTTGGTGTGATGGCTTACCAATGTAGGGAATGGATATCTTGATGGGGGAGGCCTGATTCTGGTTTAGATCTTTTGGCAGGAGGTGAAAGCGTTGCTTCGATGGTTCTGTTGACTATTTCAGGTGGGTGCGGTTTGCGTTCCACAAAGACTTTCCTCAGGTGTCCAATTTCTTCCTGTAGGTTTGTTGAGCAGATGTTTTTGGCTCTTCTGGTCAATGTGGAGATGACGCCGGTCTTGACTTTAGGTGGGTGGTTGGAGTTGTAGTGGATGTATTGATCCGTATGAGTTGGTTTTCTGTACACGGAGGTCTGGAGTTGGTTGCAGGCGGTGCGGGACACAAGGACATCAAGGAAAGGTAGTTGGTTGTTCTGCTCTGTTTCAATGGTGAATTTGATGCGGGGATGTTGGCTGTTGAGATGGGCGATGTCTAAACGGACTTCACTAAACGCAAGCTCACAGAAGCCATTCACATCAAACGCCACAAGCCTACCATCAACCGTGACCAAGGATACTTCATTCCATCTGCTTATGATCCACTCCTCCACCAAGCCCAGTCTATTGTATAAACTTCGCATCCATTGTATAAACATCTCATTGTAACTACATCTCTGGCTTCCATTCACTATCCTTTATGTACTTACTGGCTTCATCAGCTTACTGCTTAGCCAATCATGGCAATTATGTTGTTTCCTTTGTCTATTATGTTGTTTCATTGTTATATACAGTATATATATGCAGCTCCTACACTTCATGTATCACTCTTGCTTGACAACGGTACAAGAATCTGTATCGAAACGTCGCACTCACGAAAATAAAGAAGTTGTTATCCATAAAACTTGTTATATACTGTACGTCTCAACTTCTAAAATGCCACTCAAACAAGTTACAGCAATTGGCTGTATCCCAACGAAACGATCGACATATCCACCAGTTCGTAATATCCATTCTCTTTATAGTTGTAGTATACTATTCCCATCACTACGACGATGATGATAACGAAAGAAAATGACGGGTAGACGTCAGAGACGATGTCGCATTCTACGTACCCCAACCAGCGTTATCCTTGACCTCATCTCGGAGTATCGATCAGAACTTCTGTTGGCAAGACTAGGGTGGAATGTGATGGGCAAGTAATCGTATGTGCCGGCCTCCATGGTAATGTTGAATGAGACGTGATAGGACTGGGTTGCTGAAACAAGTGAAAGTTAAATACATTTAAACACCGTTGTGTTGCGTTATCAGATAGTTGATCGGAACGAAAAATGGTTAACTAAGAAGAAATATGCATGGACAGACCAGCTCCTCTGAGTAATGGAACGACCCATCATGCCGCTTAAGATTCTGTATTTGTGCCAACGCTAGGCATCCACTGACAAGGTGTTGGACAGTCTCATTAAATTCATTGCATAATCTACATTTCATATTAACATTATAAGCAAAATGAACACGGGCGAAGACTTTATATTAACCGACTTTTAGTCAGCAAAACCTCGTTACCACTCCTCGAGTATAAAATATATTCAAAGAACAGCAAACATTCCATAATGATCGTGAGTCCAGCTTGCGTCATAAGCTTGGCATATCCGTGCCGTCAAAGTCTGCACAATTTTGGCTGGAATCGATAGTGTCTGACACCATGTTTATTTTGGCAAGGTTCTGAATACTTGTTTTTCTTGCTTGTTTCAAAAGAAATATGTGCTATGAGACAAACCAGGTATATATGTTTATGAACAAACTTCTTTGTCTCACTAAATATATTTGTCGTGGGATACAGATGAATTACACCACCATAACAACACAAATATGTGATGTTTTTGTAGATCGCACTATATTATTTATAATTGTTGTTATCCATAACAAAATTTCACGAATTCATAACAAACTTATTTTTGCTTATATGTACATGTTTGGTGAATCCATATCGTTACCGTTATATATTGACACACAATTCAAATTACAATCTAATTTCAGCAATACCCAAGAATACATATGTTTTGTTTTTAAAAGCCAAACTGTTTAATGATGTCTCGCAACTAGTCCTGCAGTTGATTCTGAGACAGGACTGTGCTTGCCATTCTGAATGAGCTGTTTGATTGGCATTTTATAAGTTGGTGAGTAATAGGAAAGTAAGATACTTTATGGAGACTGTTGCTTGACCACGGTATAAGAATCTATACCGAAATGTTCCATCATATGTAATAAAGAGGTTGTCATCCATAAAGAATCTTACTTTCTCATTCTGATGTCTAACAAATTCAGCTGTATGGGGTATATTGAAGTCATATCTTGCACATTACCTCGTGTTCACAATATACTCCCTTACATGTTCAAAGAAATATATCCTCTTTGAACTTGGATTTAATTTCTATTTGAAAATAATTAAATATGACAAAAAGAACATATCAATATTATAAAAGGATAATGGTTTGACGTCATCACATGCCACATCGCGTTATGTTGTCATGAACCATATAGATAATGAAATAGATTTTAAAAATTGTCATTCCAAAATATGGAATAATCAACAAAGCATGATCAGATCTATAATTATGCATGAAGGCGCCCGAGGGGCCGTAATCGTCACCACAACATTTTCTATTGATTTCAGATTAAACCTAGGAAAATATCCGCGCAACACGTGACTATGCGACACATTGTAAACAAAGTTAATTTAGACACATTTTGTCTATCATTGAAAAGGAGAAAATTGCGACAATGTCCTCCTATTTCATATTTAATCATTGCTACACACATTAAATTGTCTTGACTACACAGTTGTATACCTTGGCATGGTTCATCTCTGTGAGAGGAGGCGAATCCTGCCATACACCGACATATACCGCTGGTGATCGGAATTGGACCCAGAGGCAAACTGCACATGCTGTTGTTGTCGCTGTTGCATTTCCATTGGTCACTCGGGTCACACAGCCTCGGGGGAGGCGTCCGTGGAATGTAAAAAGGTGGAATGTGTGGACCTGAAGCGAAAAGAAAAATATCAATGGTAACAGTGGTATCGAACCCCGAGCATACGCTATATCTACTTGGCCAAATGAAGTAAGCCCTCCTAGGTGTCTCTCTTTGTGTGGAAATCATTGTATGTGTGCAGTATTTGAGGCTATGTGTCTTTCGAAGTACCAAGTTATCCGTTCTTCCAAAAACTATTTTAAAAGATAAACTTACTTCACTTAGTTAGGTTCCATAGAGAAAACCAATTCAGATACCATGCGGTAGCTCCCCAAGGATTCCCACCCAGACCAAGTGAACGGACTACGAGTCAACCGGTTCTTGCTTCATCCTCTAAATGCCAAGAACAAGGCAGGGAAACAACAAGTACTATATAGTAGCGTTTCTAGGAATAACTCGGAATAACGTTCAGCCATCGAACCACCGATGTTCCTCTATGCGTTGAAGTGAAAGTCAAAACGTATAACCCGTGAAGATCCGGGTTAGAATTGGTCTCCAGTAACCCACGCTTGTAGTAAGAGCCGGCTAACGTGATTGGGTGGTCAGGCTCGCTGACTTGGTTGACAAATGTCATCGTATCCCTATTGCGTAGAACGATGCTGTTGATCCAGGCTCGATTTTTTAGTAATGTTACAGACCGCCGCCATATACCTGGAATATTGCTGAGTGCGGCGTTTAACAACCAACCAACCAAACCGTATTATATTGATTCTGAACTGTTACAGTTCAGTTGCTTAGAGATAAAATCAATCCTTCGTAACGCCGAACACCCGGGTTCGATTCTCTACATGTCGACTGTTATTTTGCTAAGCCAGTTTTAAGCAAGCACACTATATACCTGCTTCGTTCGCTTTAACCAAGGTAGTAACCATCTACATCTGCATCACTTCGTGATTTCCCAACACACCAAGCTGACACGCCATGATATAACAGTTTAATACAGCATTAAACTCAACAAACTCACTCATTCACAGTCAGTACCTGAGGCGGTCGGGTAGCCTGGTGGCTAAAGCCTTCGCTCGTCACGGCGAAGGTCCGGGTTCGATTCCCCACATGGGTACATTGGCTGAAGCCCATTTCTGGTGTTCCCCGCCGTGATATTGCTGGAATATTGCTAAACGCGGCGTAAAAATAAACTCACTCACACACAGTACCTTGTAGCTGATGCTACAGGTTCAATCATCCAGGTCCATTCCCAAAAATTAACCCTTTTCGTACAAAACAGATGTTATGTATGTGAACAGTGTCTGTTGGTCTTCTGAAGTACCAAGTTATTTATTTTCTGAATTTCTTAAAAAAAAACTGTTTTAAAAGATGAACTTATTTGCCTCATCCTCACTGATGTGGAACTAATACACGTCGGTCAAGTCAACACATGCCCATATCATTCTAAGGCATGAGCACATTAAAACATCATTATAAGCATGTTATCGACGGAAAAGATTCGAAAAAGCCAATACAAAACATATGCTACTCATTAAAATATCTTCTTATGAAAAGTAATGACAAGGATTATTTATTATTGTGGGATGGTCAAACCCTTCTGATGCGATGCAATTACGACGACGCCATTAGCTGCATCTTTTACATGCTCTTTATAACCAGCTTCTTCATGCCTCTAGTGTTTCGGCAGGTTCTGGTCGTCTTAGTATTGTTGATAATATCCAGGTGTTATTTTACGAATATAAGCCAACTGTTAAATACACCCAGATGCTTGTTGTAGTTTGCTTCCGGAAATAGCATAGAAACATGGAGTACACTCGGATTCCTCAACACCGAAAGTAACATCTGTCGTACGCCTATCGCATTGCAATTAAGTGCACATCAATGTGAAAAACTGAACGAGCTTAACGTCGAATTACCCCGGACGTAGCGTATGGCTCGAACAGCGCACCATATATTTGAACACGCGTTGCGCTCGTTACATTTGAGTCCATGTCTGCATACATATCAATGGTCATATTCGGAATGTATAGCATGTACATTTCTTAGCCATGCACTGAACATATGGTTGTCGGTCTGACGGATGGCCATATAGGTAATGTACACGTTCACAATTCGTCTGTGGATACAGTTATGTCAAAACGCAGGTTTCAAATGGATATACCACGCAGCTGGTGGCAAGCGGTATTCTAAGCCACTCCTAATCTTCTACTTAGGCGTACTTTAGCACTGTGAATGTTTTGGGTAAGCTGAGACATGTATAATGTTAATACATGTACATGTAGTCTGTACCGTCGACATAATGCACACAATTTCCAATCGTGCGTATCCTCAGACATCTAAACAGGTAGCGCAAGAAGTGCCTTTAACGCCATACTCGATACAGGGTAACGCTCAGTGGAATAAAGACCGTTGTAACAAATCGTACAAACAAGTATCCCCATCACACGTGACGAGCAAGTCTAATATTACACGTGACAAACAAGTATAATATCACCATGACAAACAAGTACCACATCAACAGTGTCAAACCAGTCTACCATTACCCCTGACAAACCAGTCTGCCATTACCCGTGACAAACAATTATATCTATATCTATCGATTTCATGGCACTGCTAATCTCGTAACTAGTCGTGTTCCGATGATCGAAAAAATCGAAAATCGATCGAAAGAAGGATAAAAAATTATTATCGATTGTAAAAAAATATTTTGATTAATCGGAATTTTGTTTTGCTTTTTTATAACACCCTTGAATTAAGTATACTAACCATTTAATTTGATGAAAATTTACGAACAAACATGCGCTCAACAGCGTAATGCTATGCGCATTGTAAAATTTTAACCACGTTTTTGTTTAATTACAATTCCAGTGTCTTACTTGCATGCGTGCATGTCATTGCATGACAGTATTAGTTATAAAAAAAACATTAATTAGAAAAAACATGGGGAAAAACGCTTAAAATTGGTGATTACATTAAAAATGTATATATTTTGATTATAGACGATAATCGTTCACCACAAGTCCTCCGATGATCGATAGTGGATGTGGTTTCCGATTCCCAATACTACTCGTAACTGATCTAGATGCCTCAGTCTGAGAATGTGACACACATCCCAAAGTACTATAATGTGTTCTTTCAAAAGAAGCATCAGTCTTACCTGTGTTTCTGAACTTCAGTAACCATCAACCAGATCACCTATTTACCAACTCCCCAACACACATACACACCCTAATCCACTTACGTTCAACACAAAGGGTGTTGTTTTCGACCGGTGTGTAGCCATACACACAGGAACAGTTCTGGATTGATGAGCACTCCGAATGGTTCAATGTTTTGCTGCAGTGCCAACCTTCTAGACATCTGTCGCCCAACAACACCGGGTCTAAGGTAAAACAAACAGTACATGCTAACATGATTAAAGAGTATTGCTTTTAGGCTAATGAGGCCATGTGTGACTAAAGAGAAAAGATCCTCCTTCATGTCTGTTAAGGAACATTCCTTCAGCGATATAGTTAGAAAAAACACGAAGGGTGGAACGACCCAGATTTCGAAGAGGAACATGTCAACAGGTTTTCGCGTTAATAAAAACATACCAGAACATTGTAAGGAGACGTTTAGAGTCATGGATCTTCAACATAAGTATTCCAACACGCTAACGTCAATGCTTACATTTTCGACAGGCATTAGTGTCTGTGTCTGGGAAGTATCCATCGTCGCAGACACAGGTGTAGTTGCTGCTGCAGTAGCTGTTGCTGATGGCCGTGAAGCACTGGGAAGGCATACTGCAGTAGTCGTTCAACTGCACAGGATCTGATCCATAGTAAATAATTACAAGCATCTATTTGATGAACAGTTGTTCTATGGTATTCCTGTCATGTTAAGACCAGTCGGAATCGGACATTCGACTGTATTTGAGAGATATGTCTTATAAATGTTGAAAAGGTTTTGTCCACGGGTGAGTCACCGTAAGAGAATAACGTTAACGATGGACTGTCAACAGTCGTAACAGTATAACAGCTTATAGTGTGTGTGTAAACTTTAATGACGTAGAAATAACCTATATGTGATTCTTATATAACGTTAAAACTTACATGTAATATCGTACTTGTTCTTATTAACGTTAAAGACCTGTACTAACATGTATGTTTAAAAAGTTAAATGGTGAATACGATGGACTGTCAACAGTCGTAACAGTATAACAGCTTATAATGTGTGTATAAACTTTAATGACGTAGAAATAACCTATATGCGATTCTTATATAATGTTAAAACTGAGATGTAATATCGTACTTGGTCTTATTAACGTTAAAGACCTGTACTAACATGTATGTTTAAAAGTTAAATGGTGAATAGCTTTACCCCATCTGTTCGTGTATGACGTTAAGTGACCAAACTCTTAAACACGTCACGTTAAATATATAATTTTTATTATTTCCCCACGCGTATATGAATATTTTAAAAATGAACCTGGAATCATGTATTATGTGCTTAGGTAGAGCAAGACATGCTTACCCTTTTCGCGAATAATTTAGTTCTAGTGATCCATTTTTAATAAATTTCCTAGCTATTTTTCTCTTTACACCAAACGGAATTTGTTTCTGATTATAGTCAAGACATGGTATTCTTTTGCACTGACTATATTATATTACTTTACGTATAGAACGAAACGGACCCGTGAAGATCCGGGTTAGAATTGATCTTCAGTAACCCATGCTTGTCGTAAGAGGCAACTAACGGGATCGGGTGGTCAGACTCGCTGACTTGGTTGACACATGTCATCGGTTCCCAATGCCGCAGATCGATGCTTATGCTGTTGATCACTGGATTGTCTGATCTAGACTTGATTATTTACAGACTGCCGCCATATAGCTGGAATATTTCTGAGTGCGGCGTAACACTAAACTCACTCACTCACTTAGAACGAAACGGTGGGTAGCCAAGTGGTTGAAGGGTTCGTTTCGCCATTAGTACAATATGTGACGCCCATTTCGGGTGATATTTTGGAATAGTGACAAAAGCGGCGTAAAATGTAATCACTCAATCTCTTATCAAAGAACAATAATGACATACGGTAAACTTCGGTTATAACGAATATAAATGGACTAGTCTACATATTCTGGTTCGTTACAACCGTAGTTCGTCATACGCATTTCAACAAAATCACACATCAGGACAAACAACGGGTCATATATCAATCAATTCGTTATAAGCGTGTTCTATGTATCTGTCAGTTCGATATAAACGTGTTCGTTATAAGCGCAGTTTACTGAGTGACATTTGGTATTACGGTGCCTCAGATTCATGTTTGCATTGCACTTCCAAACATTAAATCTTTAGTTTCCAGTGATAAAAAAAATAATGCTCCTTTAAGTAAACAGTATCACCTGTCTATTTTGTGATAGCAATATTACACACAAGTCTGTATTTATCTGCGTCTCTATTAGGGAAACAAGACATCAAAGAAATGTCAAAGAGAGTCAACAGCTACGTCACAACCATACTAGAACCACTTTCGAAATATTCGTGTGTGGTATTTTATCAAACATCTGTTGGGAGCGAAACTTAAAAATCCTGACAATATTTTGATGTAATGTGAAGAAAATATACAATTATATATTTGATCATGAAATCCTAGTCGAAATTATCTCTCGCTTCAACATGGAATGGATCATGTCTCTTCAATTCAAAGGCGATAACTGGAATGTCTTAGATGAGATACCAAACCCTAACCAAAGCACTCCTCGGATCAGGTCGTCCAAGTTAAACACTGCCTGGCACTGCGATTCATCAGAAATCATTAAAGCACCATCAATCTCGAACAAATGACGTTAACGTGCATCTGCTGTCAAAGGTCATTTTAAAGAAGCAAATACTCACAGCATAACGCAATCAATTTGCAATTTCAAATGCATAGCTGAGGCAGGTGATTACATATTTTCGTGTTTATGATCTATTTAGGATCATCATACTGAAGCCAGTTTAATTATGACAATTACATGCTTCCTTAAAATGTTTGCACGCTCCTTGCACCTGTTTGCAACCGTAGTGCAGTTGTCAGAAACAGTTGTATCGATATGCAAAACGTTTTGCACATTTGCGCCAACATTTAGATGATTCATGCAAGGTGGACACTCCTTGTAATTGGCATAATTTTCATTCCTCGTCATGTTTTACTCATTTGAGAATTTGGAGATATAATGACTGACGAGGGAACTTGTTTATTTCCATACTAACGTAGTTCTAGCCTCTTGATTAAGTATTTAAAGTATTCTTAAACCATTGAATGACAACAAACAATTTTTCCACGTTTAACTCCTACTGATATTGCTTAAAAGTTGACAAATGTTCGTGTTAGACGAGGTGTGGTTTATGAAACGTGTCGGTTAAACAAGCACATGTTAATGCAAGATTGTAAAAGAATATATGACAATGTAATGTATAATGCAGGATGACGTTTGGCGTAAAAAGATTGGGCTGAAAAGTCATAGCACACTGATAAATAACTTAAACATGTGACTTTCTTAATTGGCCGTTGTGTCAAAATGTGAGCATCGAATATACAGTGAAACCCCCACATAAGTCGAGTCCCTTCCTCTCTTCTCTCTTTTACTTTCCTATCTCTTCTCCGTATTCTTTCCTAAGATGTATATAATTGAAATTGTATGTATGTAAATATTAGGGAGCGGGTATTTTAAGTTGGATAACTTGTCCCCAATCCCTTTCACATTTGTGAATAAAATATGTTTAAATCAAAACCCCCTTTGATCCGCACAGTTCTGTCTTAATGTTATCTCCCATTGTAGGTAATCACGGTTATGCATTAAGGTGTCCATATGGACCTTGCTATGAAAAAATATCGAATTTAAGAAGAAAAACGGATAGGGCTTAAAGGGTTTCGGATAAACGGGGTTTCACTATTACATAAATTCCCCAAAACCTACTGTTAATATACATATACAGTACTAAAATCATACTTACATGGCTGACACGTGATGTTGTCAAAAAGAACAAAGTGTTCACGAGGACAAACACAGGCATCGTTAGCATCACAATAGCTTTTGGGGTGAATATGCCGACACTGGTCGAAGAAATAGCACCTCTCACTCAAATACGAAGGACCTAGAAAACACTTTCTGCTGAGCAACTAAAACCACACATATTAGTAGAAACCTTTCGACCCACGCTATGTCCTAATGAACACAAATCAATCGTTGTTTGACTTTAAAGGCGGTGTTCGACCAATGAAGTTCTACTGGTTTGACTACGTAAAACTTGAATCCACACTGTTGCGATTTTTCGAATTCTTTGACTAGTTCAAGGGGATGAAGTCAAAAGATTATTGTCTTAACGTCGAACAAAACGAGTATTTGACAAATGTTCTTGTGGCAATAGCGTGGGGACGCAATACACACATTGTAAGTGAGGCATCCCTTGTCCTGAAATGAGGTCAATAATGAATGTTGAAAAGGTTATGATGTTGTCAAAGCAAAATAACCAAGCCAGGGACAATTCACGTAACAAATATCACACTTCTGCATTTACTTCTACATCAAAAGATCGAACTTATCGTTTTCTCTATGTCCGTTACCAACGTTTGCCAAAAATCCTTTAATCAAAGGTTAGGTAGCTTCAAGCTTTAAGAAATTTCCACATGAAGATTTTGGAAGCACGTATGTCTGATTTTACATGTACAGAAAAATATCTGTATTAAGTGAAACCTTACAAATCAGAACGGTACTGTTTCCAAAGAATTCGTCCGAATTAACAAGAGTCCGGATTAACATGATCCTTGATGACAAGTTCTAATTACCACCTGTTCGGATTATGCGAGTCCGGAATATCACCTGTTTGAATTAATACATGTCCGGAGAAACGATAATAGCTGTGGAGCAGAGTTCCTTGAACCACAGCGTGATTCTCCAAATAGTAATTAACTGACTGTAGGGTTTCCGATTTAAATGGGTCCAAATTAGCGAGGTTTCTCCGGACTTGTGAAAATAGTAAAACATGCAGCGGTGTCTGTACGTTTACGAAATCTCCTGAACTTGGTTATCCTATTGCAAAACTAAGATGGTAGGCCTCTCTGCAAATTCAACTGAAAAGTAAGTATTAGTTACTATTTAAACAAGGGTTACTGTAAGCGAAATTATAAAAGCATGTCCAATTTGTATTATTCGCTTGCGCAGATGTATTGCTCATAAAGAATTAACTGCTTATAAAGAACAAAAACTACAGGTAATCTCATTTGCTCCCAAGAAACTAAAATGATCAACAACATGTAGAAAATGAACAATATTTTCAATGAGTGTTCCTCCAAAGCTTCTCAACCGGCGCTGTCAGCTGGTTAACTTACGCTTGACGCACGCAGTCTTCAAGTGTGTGACGTCATATCCGGAGTCGCACGTGCATATTCCCTCGCTACACCAGCTGTGTGGTACGGCGGCATTGCAGTCTGAGTTAATGACACAGGAAGCATCTCCAATCTTTCCTGGAAGAACATTAACAAAAAGCATTTTATTACCTATTGGTATAACACCGGACGAAAAACACATTTCCAACGTTGGAAAGATCATGGAAATAAGAGGCAAATTTTCGTAGCGTGACAGCTAATTCAAATAAAGAATGGAATTATTTCTCTTCGAACAAATGAGTATTGCTTCATATTTCAGATTATTTGCATGAAATCTCGAATAAACTTAATATTCCAATAATGTCTCAACATATACTTCCCATCTAAAGTTTAGACTTACTGAAAACACTCACTATACGTTATGTATAGATATATGGTTACATCGAAGATGAATTTCTCCACTAACTTGGGGGAACCAACTGAAAACCTCATGCAGATGAATTGCATGAGGACCATGCATCAAATTGCTGAAAAAGCATGTGCAAATATCATGCATGTGAACAGCTGCGTTTTGGAGTAAAGTTTTGTTAAGAATTCACCAATTTCCACTGAGTTTCATCATTTCTTGAACTCATGACAATAAGTTTTCAACTCACCGAATTTGTTTTACAATACATCAGTTCATGTGCAAACAGTACCTTTGAACAGTATGGAATATTTTGCAAAATCTAGTATAGAATAGTTGACTGAAATAAGTGGCTATATTTACACTAGTGAGTCTAAACTTTTGATGGGAAGTATATATTTAACCAAAGGTGTTTTTATGTCTGGCAATACCGTGATTGAATGCACTGAAAATGAAAGTTCCTTGCATACGAATATGATATATCTTTTTTTAAATTCAAAGATGAAAAAATGAGACGCCAAAATGTAAATATTTCGTAAAAGGTATGTAACAATAATACTTCGAAGTAATATTTGACTCTCATTTGCAAACTCTTCAGTAACAAAGCAGTCACATTACAATATATGCGGCTTTAGTGGCATTGTAGAATCTCTTCAGTAGTCTTTTCGCGAGTGAAACAATCATACATATCAGGTATTGAACAGTGACATCTGATTGCATCAAGGACACACGCAAGGGCAAGTGTAAGTCAAAATATTAAACGCTTGCGGTGTACCAGAAGCGATCTCACAAGATCTACGCAGAGAGGTATCTGTTCCAGTTAAAGGAGTTTCAAGTGAGAATACATAGGGGAGATGGGGTAGCCTAGTGGTTAAAGCGTTCGCACGTCACGCCGAAGACCCGGGTTCGATTCACTGCGTGGATAACATGTGTGAAGCTCATTTCTGGTGTCCCCCTTCGTGATAATGCTGTAATTTTGTTAAAGGGGGTCCAAAACTCAAGTTAAAATAATGGCTTGGGTCAGTTTCACTACTCACTCAGAATGCACAAAGTCTTGTTGGTAGAAACATGATAACCCGAATCACATTTGCATATCCCACGGGAGCAGTTACTATGGGCAACCGCATCATAACAGTCAGAGTTGACCGTACACGTAGCATCGAATATCTTCCTCCTTGAACACATTGTCTTCGTATCATCTACTTGATATCCCGATAAGCACGTGCATTTAGATTCCACGCATGCGCTCATGGCAACGGCAGAATCACAGTCCGTATCCAATGAGCAAGTGTCTCCAATTTTACGTTTCGTACAGGTATCATTGAATTTGTTGCTATAGTAACCGGAATTACAGTAGCACGTGTTATCTGTACAGTTGCTTTTAGCAACCGCTGCGCTGCAGTCAATGTCTTTTTCACAAGTGGTGTCGTAAATTCGACGTTTAGTGCAAACTGTTCTCTTCTTGTTTACGCTGTGACCAAGCTGACATAAACACACGCCTCCAACACAGTGGCTGCTGGGAACGACGTCGTTGCAGTCGGAGTCCATGAGGCATGTGGTGTCGTAGATCCTCCGCATGCTGCACGTGGTTTTCTTGGAGTTTACATGGTAACCAGAGTTGCACAGACACACACGAGATGTACAGTTGCTATTAGCAACTGCATCTGAACAGTCAGCATCAATGAAGCATGTTGCGTCACCTATTTTCCCTGAAATGCAAACAAAAATGAGGTTATAGTTTATAGTTGATTTAAAAACGATAAAGGACACATTAATACCAGAGATGGATGAATGTATATATAAATACAAGCAGCTAGAATGTGAAGGTTTGATTTGGATGACGTTTAAAGCTGCACTCAGCAATGTTTCAGCTATATGGCGGCGGCTTGTATAATAATCTGGACCAGACAATCCGGTGATCAACAGCATGAGCATCGATCTACGCAATTGGGATATGTGTCAACTTGGTCAGCGAATCTGACCAACCGATCCCGATAGTCGCCTCTTACGACAAGCATGGGTTACTGAAGATCAATTCTAACCCGGAATGTAATGAATGGATATGTAGATAGAAGAAGAATCTGTGAAAAGAGAGTACACGGCTTCAACATATATATATTGAGAAATAATAACTAAAACATCCTTAAATCAATACCGCTCAACAAACCAATTACAAAAAACCTGGTTACAGGATACAAAAAAACAAAATACTTTATAAAGAACATTTAGTGGACATGACTTTACCAAAATACCACCTTGGTATGTTTGTAAATGTACAGAATGTTAAACAAAATTAAGAATTAAAGAATCTGCATTTATATTGACGTACTGACGAGCAGAGCTTATATTTTACAGCTACTAGTGGTTGGCGTTATAGTGAGTGAGTAAGTATGGTTTTACGCCGCTTTTAGCAATATTCCAGCAATATCATGGCGGGGGACACCAGAAATAGGCTTCACACATTGTGCCCATGTGGGGATTCGAACCCGGGTCTTCGGCGTGACGAGCGGATGCTTTAACCACTAGACTACCCCACCGCCCCTGGTTGGCGTTATAAGCAGAAAGGAGTAGTACATGAAAACTAGTTGCCGTATTGTCCAGCCGAGTGGGGGATATACGGGTAATGGTTGATAGATTGGTGATTTCTGTTCCGTGTGTTCCTTGTAGACAACCATTTATATATTTAATACAATCATGCGGACACGCCTTGGTTAGCCATATGAATTGCTTCTTTTTTGTATGACAGGATGAAAAATATACATATCCCCTAGTATATGTAGGGTTATAGTATATCATCACAGCGTTTGTCATTGCGCCTCAGTATAATCTGTAACTGTAGGAAAAGTGAGTCCCCGAAGGAAACGTTGAAACGCGTTGCAGGGAAATTCGTGTTGTCATTATTTTGTGGATTTCTTTACATCTTACATGTAGTAGATCGATGGGGAAAAGATAGGAGGATATAGATGTACCGGCAGATGAACTGATGAGCAGACAGGTGTACGTATAGATTCTGAATTTGGAACAGTGATCAAAGAGCGAGCGAGTGAGTATGTTTTTTACGCCGCTTTTAGCAATATTTCTGCAATATCACGGCGGGAGACATCTGAAATGGGCTTCACACATTATACCCAAGTGAGGGTGGTCAAAGAGTGAGTGAGTGAGTATGGTTTTGCCCCGCTTTTAGCAATATTCCAGCAATATCACTGTGGGAGACACCAGAAATGGGCTTCACACAATGTACGAACCCTGGTCTTTGGCGTGACGAACGGACGCTTTAACCACTAGGGTACCCCACCGCCCCCAGGCAGATCGATGGATCATCAGACAAATGGATATGAGGACACTGGCCAATGCATTGATGTGAGTATAGGACGGATATATACAAAATATCATTTTATCGATATGTGAAGTAAGAGGTGAATATAAAGATTCAAGCAAATTTATTGGTGTGCAGAAATGACTGATATATACGGCAAGTAGACCATCGCCAACAACCAAATATTATATATTTAATACATACAGCACCATACTTACTTTTAACACACTCTGTTCTATAATTTTCATCGTAGTAGCCGGAATTACAGTAGCACGTGCCAGATGTGCAGTTGCTATTGGGAACGGCGTCGCTGCAGTCGGTGTCCACTTTACACGTAGCATCTCCAACGACTCTGAGCACGCATATCTTGAAGTCATCAGTATGATGTGACCCAGACACACACGCACAGGTGTTATTCAAGCACATCGAGTCAGGGACAGCGTCAGAACAGTCAGAGTCAGATTTACAGTTAGCGTCACCTATTTTACGCTGGATACATGACGTCATGTTTCCGGCGACGTAGAATCCACTGTTACACTCACACACGCCACTATTACAGTTGCTATGCAACACGGCGTCCGAACAATCAGTGTCAAGGTCACATACGTCATGAATGACCCGCTTTGTGCAAAGGTCTTGCTCGTCTTCACTTCTGTAGCCAGATTCACAGTAGCAAATACCATTGGTGCAATTGCTGTTTGGAACGGCGTTGAAACAGTCACTGTCGACGTTGCAAGAAGCATCACCAATCTTTCGTTTGACGCAAGCGGTCCTGTCACTTGACATCCGATATCCTGAGACACAGGAACATCTGTTGTTGATGCAGGTGCTGCTGTCGATCGCATCTCTACAGTCCGTGTCCAAGGCGCAGTCATCATTCACTTTACGTTGTATACACGAGGAGTTGTAGACGTTGACCTTGAACCCTGACTCACACAAGCACGTGCCTTTGGTGCAATTGCTGTTCCGAACAGCATCGCTACAATCCTTGTCACTGAAGCAGGTGTTGTCGTATATCTTCCGTTTTTTACATTTACTGAAATTATCGGAAGGGTAAAAACCGGAATTGCACTTACACACGAAGCTGAGACAGTCACTATTTGCTACAGCGTCGGAACAGTCACTGGGCGTAGCCATGGAACAAAAATCGTTTATTTCGCGAAGGATACATTTGGTTTCATCAGAGCTTTGATAAAATCCAGAATTGCAGGCGCACGCTCCGTCGGTACAATTGCTGTCAGGAACAGCGTCGAAGCAGTCTCGGTGCGTCGCACATGTCGCATCACCAATTCTGCGTTGTTCGCATTCAGTACCAGAGTTTATTGAGTGGTACCCTGATGCACATTCACAAACCTTTTTAACACATTTACCCATAGACACAGCACGACAATCACTGTCTACTTCGCATTTACTACCTATAGTCCGTATAAGGCACTCACTACCGTCATCACTTGCATAGTATCCCATGTCACATACACATACGTCGTCGGTGCAGTTGCTGTGCACCACGGCGTCAAAACAATCGGCGTGGACGGCACATGCATCATCAATACCGCGGAGGTCGCAGGAATCCAGGTCAGAGCTAGCCAGAAAACCAGACCGACAGACACACATTGAACCCCTACACTCAGAGTTGGCTATAACGGCTTTGCAGTCGTCGTGGACTTTACACGTTGGGTCCCCAATTTTACGTTTTAGACACTTTGTGTTTTCTTTAACAGCCCTGTATCCGACTTCACACGTGCATTTTGAGTCCTTGCACAAGCTATTCGGAATAGCGTCACTGCAATGCATATCAAAGAAACAGAAATCGTCTATTTTATTCATGATGCACTCGTTGTCGTCATCGCCTACCCTGAATCCACGCTTGCACGAGCACATTTTGCTGCTGCACGTGCTGTTTCCAACTGCATCTTTGCAGTCTGAGTCAATGCTACAACGATCTCCAATCTTACGGACTGTACACTCCGTGCCTTTAAGGATGTCGTAGTATCCAGAGTTGCAAATGCAAACGCCTTTGGTGCAGTTGCTGTGTGCCACGGCGTCATTGCAGTCGCTATGGACGGTGCATTTGTCAGCGATCTTCCCTGAAAGTTAGTTCCAGACATAAAGTCAGTAAAACATAAATTATCACAATAAACATACTTTGCACAAAAACGGGCGTATATATAAGATGGTCACTTATATTTGGAAACATTGGAAGCGTATTTGCATTCTAAATTTAAAGAGTGCAAGAATTCAAGATAGAGACATAAGATGCGACAAAAATACTCGCATGTCACGTTCTCGCATCCTCGTGGGATTTAAAAAAAAATGTTTAACAAATATTTTATTTCTTGGTTAAAAAACGTTGCTATCAAAATGAAAATGCATTTCGCTATTTCAATTTCACCAGCAAAGTCCGAAATATATTCTACCATGACACATGAAAGAAGTGACTTCTGTTGACCGTAGCAATCATGGGAACAGCAATCTTGAGTAAGGATAACATAAAGGTTTAAATGAACAGTCTGCATAATTAGGATTTTACTGATTTCCCCCAGAAAAATGTTGCTGTACTATTAAACTTACTTTGTATACATTGTCTGTTGTCTCTCGTCGCACGGTAACCACTGACACATTGGCACGCCCCCTTGGTACAGATGCTGTTGGCGACAGCAGCCGAGCAGTCCTCATCACTGCCACAGGTAGCGTCACCAATCTTTCCTAAAGATGAAATATATACGAATTATAGTAGGTGGTATATATAAATATATACACTGACACAGTTACAGGTTTATATGGAATGGCACAGTTACACTATTGTAAATATGAAGAATGGCACAGTTACACGATTGTAAATATGAAAAATGGCACAGTTACAGGATTGTAAATATTAAGAATGGCACAGGTACACTATTGTAAATATGAAGAATGGCACAGTTACACTATTGTAAATATGAAGAATGGCACAGTTACACTATTGTAAATATGAAGAATGGCACAGTTACACGATTTTAAATATGAAGAATGACTCAGAAAACGGCTGTATACATACAATGAGACACTTATGCGGTTGTGTGTGTGTGTGTGTGTTTAATGACGTCACAAACAATGAATTCTGTCACCCATGACTACGTTTTAGTTCTCCCTCTATTGTCACTACGCATGTAAACGCGTGTTGACGACATAGATGCTATAGCTACTGTTATGTGTCGCTTAGTTAGTTTTCATTACACCTGAAAAGCCATTAAGATCTTGTGTACATAAAGTACGAATATCTGGTCTCTATCTTTTTTGTATGTATTGCACCTGAAGAAATCACTGGTTGTAAGGTTATGGAATGTTCTTTTGCTGGTTTACGAAATACAGTCGAACAGGGTCGAAATTATAGGACCAACGTAACTTAAATTATCAACACAACCGAAAATGATGAAAAACGAAGTAATACGCAGGGACCAAGCTTTTAGCTCCGAGACAACCATACGATACTAGACATATTAAAATTTGTTGATATGCTATCACGATAGCGGTGGGCGAGCGATCTAAGGCGCCAGGCTGGGGATCCAGCGAGCTTAAGGTGCCGGGATCGAGCCCACCTGTGACCGGGTGTAAAAACATTGGAGTGCAGACTCTTTCAGTGCTGTCACAGCCCCTAGTGTACAGTACACAACCCTGTGCACTTAAAAGAACCCTCGTTGGTAAATGACCAGATGGTGGCCTAGTTGCGGGTACAGCAAGGTGCAGTAAAAGTTCTGTAACAATGTGTCCCTGTCCACCCCGCTGTGAAAGAATGAGAAAGCCACATTAAAACTTGGTGCGCCTTAGTGGCTGCAAGAGTTGTATGATCCTCAGGAAGTTGGGACTGAAAAATACGATGTGCCGTTGAGATTGACAAAGCGCCTTTAAGCAGCTGAGCTGAGCTGGATATTGGCGCTATTACACATATCATATAACCCACGCTATCCTTCTGCGATGATCGAATAAGAACAGTTAATTTACGACGATGATCGAAAAGGAACAGCCGATTTACGGCGATGATTGAAAAGGAATAGCATATTTACAACGAAGAATGAAAAGGAACAGCCTATTTACGACGGTGATGAATAAGAACGGCTCATTCACGACGGTGATTGAATAGGAACAGACGAATTACGACGAATTACGGCAGTTCAAGGAACTGCCTATTTACGTCGATAATTGGATAGGAACAGCCCATTTACGTCGATAATTGAATAGGAACATTTACGACTATTATTGAATAGGAACAGCCTATTTACGACGATGATTGAACAGGAACAGCCTATTTACGATGATGATGAATAGGAACAGCCCATGGCAATTCTGACTTGGAATCCCAAAGGTTATAAATGTATCGATTTACTGGCAAGTTCGAACACGAGAAACACCTTTAAAGATATACATAAAATTGTTTGATTGTCATTTTAGAACCGGGTTAGAGTAATCGAAGGATATATTATGGATTTCGCGTAACATATTTTGCCTATACTAATAGATACATAGGTATCCGTTGTCAGCATTGTGTCGCCAATGTCGAAGGTTACTACTGTTTAGTGTTGTGAACGACGTCGGATTTGCCGTTTGGGGAGGGTACGCCATTTTTATAAAAGTTCTCAGATTACAGGGAGTTACTGACAATTTCAAAGTTTCATTTAGAAGCGATGCTGTAAGCCTTATTTTTCAAATGGTAAAGTGTCCGCGCATCCAATGCTAATAGTTCAATGAAGTCATATGCCCCCATGACAATTGAATCTCAGGGTCAGCCGAATATACAGGAGAATTTCCCGAATGGAAACTCTTCTCATACATTTTACTAAAATTCATTGATAAAGGATGAGATATGCATATCTCACCTGGGGATGGGACACTTATAAATAAAACATTCATATCGGTGAGATAATTACTTGCTCCTCATCGAATCCGATCTACCAATAAACCGGATTGTGGCATACATTCCAGTGTGTTTTAATAAAATGAATAGCCAAACACATTTGTAAATGGTTATTTTCTGAACTTTAGAGCAATCGAATAGGAAATAGTGTAACAATTCAAACATTTGGTTCTTCGTAAATTACTGTCACTGGTTTTCACTAAAAGATGTACAAAGGAGATGTTATGACCAGTGCCCTGTTTGCTCGTGGGAGAATACAGAATACAGAAAAGACATGTTAAAATCATTTTGACAAAGATTCGCAGTGTTTTCAAGGAGGAAAAATACTCTTTGTTTAATGACTACACTAAATGTCTATGTGAAGCTATATTTGTCCCACAAACAAAATTTAGGTCTGAAGTCATTGGCAAGAGCCTGTCTCATTTTGAACATGAGCAAATATTTGGCAGAAGCCGAATGGAGATTGGTACAGTACAAACACATGGTTAACAATTCCTGCAATTCTCGCTTATTCCGTGCATACTTGAACAAAGACGTAAATAAAAACTTGCAATTCCAAAGACCCGTGAAGATCCGGGTTAGAATTTGTCCTTAGCAACCCATGCTTGTCGTAAAAGGAAACTAACGGGATCGGGTGGTCAGTCTCGCTGACTTGGCTGACACATGTCATCGTATCCCACTTGCGTAGATCGAAGCTAATGCTGTTGATTACTGGATTGTGTGGTCCAGACTGGATTATTTACAGACCGCCGCCATATAGCTGGAATATTGCTGAGTGCGGCGTTCAACAACAATCAATCAATAAATGTAAAGCCAAAAGAAAACATGGATACCTGTCACTATCTGATATTTTCTAAGTTACATAGTTTTGTAAGTAAACAATGACATGTCCAGTTGTCCAAAACGGGCTGTTATGCTACCTCTCCTTTTAAAATGCTAAAATGATGACACATTCTAGGCAATGAACTAATTTGCCACATAACCGACGAGGGCGGTGTATTGTTGTAAATCTGAGACACCTTTGTCAGTTATTGTTAGGAATTTCATCCCGACTCAAATTAACCTAACTGACTGCACCTGTTGCTCTGACGGAGGGATATAAGGCCTGTGGGTTATTCTCACACAACGCAGGATCCACATAGTGGATAACCCATTATCGGCGAAGACATTCCTTCAGGAAACCAACACCTGCATATCCACCGAATATCGCGTTTTCCCAATGGCGTGCTGTAAGCTAGAATGCCATTTGCTAAAGAACCAACTTAATTTATATTGTAAATTGGACACACTACACCGCGGTCGTCTGTACCAGAGTCGAGAAAATACGCAGTTGATCTCAAACTTTGAAGTACACGTTCTGGCTGAGATATTTTCAGCAATCAGCTCCGGCGCTGTGGGAAGTGACTGGACCTGAAGAAAGCCTTCATGAACGCGAAGGAATCTGCTATTCTTCTCAACACATCAACTCATGCATTGGTCGTTCAGAGAGCATTCCATCGAAAAGCCGAGTCTGTGCCGATCTGATATGCTAGGCTCGTTTCTGTGCCATCCGGCAGAACAGTGCCATCAACACTGACATTGAGACTCTGCCCTGCATCCTTGTCTCGTTTATGAAAGTTGTGGAATCATTAGCCTCGACACGCTTTTCAAGTGTGAGTTTAGTTTTACGCCGCTTTTAGCAACATTCCAGCAATATCACGCTGGGGAAACAGAACTGGGCTTCACCCATTGTATCCATGTGAGGAATCGAACCGGGTCTTCGGCGTGACGAGCGAATACTTTAACCACAGTGCTACCCCACCTCCCCTGCTTTTAATGACGAAAATGACACAAATGTGCGTTAAAGCGCACAAGAAATCTTTGAACAGCATCTCTGAAATGAACATATGCTCATGAAAACGTGTAAAGGAACACATGAAAGTACAAGTGTTCCTTTATTAATTTCCAGAATTTCACCCACAGTGCAACACATACCTTGTGGAGAAACCTGGAAAAGAATAAAGGAACACTTGTACTTTCATGTGTTCCCTTATTCGTTTCCATGAGTATATTTTACAGAAAAAACGGTCCCTAAATTATGATCAGAAAACATAATGAAAAGGAGCCAAGATTTGCAACATGTTGTTTTCAGGGTCTCTTGGACAGACTAAAGAATGACAAATCTGTCATATGTCATTATTCAGACGCTTCCAAAGGACAAGTGTTCAGCACCTTCTCAATGATCCCAATCTATAACGGCTGTATTCCACAAAATGTCTACACCGTTACACTGTAAATCCGACGAATAATGGAATGGTTTGGCTGCTACCTAACTCCCTATCCTTTAACAGCACAACTTGACATTCACGTTCAACATAGAAGCGCTTGTTAATATTGCTCTCTGCATTACAGAGGTCGAACACCAGGAAATGTTTTGTCTGGTACAAGACGTTTGATCAACAACAGCAATTTAACATGTACTGGATAATGTTGAGAATTCCGGGAAAGAGCTGTACCTTCATTTTGCGAGTGTACGCTGCTTTATCGTGAAGAATTAACACATCATTTGGGGCTAGATAATAGGGCGCCAGCAAGCAACCAGGAAACTAGTGCAATCGACGTTTCTAAACATCTCTTGTATCTGTGTAAACACGGGGATGTCAAGTACGATTGATTGAGTAACATATTTCTTCCTGGGCCTGGTTTTCTCTTTAACCAGTCGGAGCCAAGGTACAGTCGGACTCTCATTAGATTACTTTTTTATATTATTTTCTGCATGTAATCATAAGTGCGATACACTTTTAGATTATATTTATAATTCGTTAGGTTTTATGGA